CATTAAGTTTCATTCTGGATGTTTCTTTAATGCTTGTCGGAGGTTCTGATGTGATAAGATTTAGGAATACTACAGAAAGCAAACTTTAAAAAATGATATCAAATTTTACAGAAATCATCAATATAAAATTCAAGGATCACATCTGTTGACCTTGAAATCACTGACACACTTTCTGATGAAATAGTTTGTGTTTACTGATGCCTATACTTGCTACATTTTTCACTCCAAAAACACAGAAACCGGAACAATCTTTTCAGTAAAATAATATATATACCTAGATAAGAAGTCTTTTTTTGAAATTATTGCTATAAATCTTGACTGCTCATTGTTTTTAAAAGTGGATCAACAAATCATCACCGAGTGATGGATATAAATTATATTTCAAATGCCTCCATATTTCTCAATGACCTAAAATACGTGACTAGAATAGACATGAGAATTGGTAGATTGAGTAAGGGATGAAACATCATGGGTGCATGTAATGAGCACCAATTTATCAATACAAAAATAAACTATGTAGAAAATAAATCAAAAATTTATATCTGATGAAAGCTAGTGCCAATAGTTCATATAGACGATAGAGTAAAATGAGTATTATTAGACACATTTACACTTCACATTAAACGTGACTTTGGAGTTGTTCAATTTTATTTTTTATATTTATTATTTTTATTTCATTCACGGAAATTTAAAAAATACTTGTGCCTTATGTATATTTGTTTTATTAACCTTTCTCTCTATTTTCCTTTTCTTACTTTTACAGATACGAAAGGTTGTTGCGACGTGCACGTACAGAAGACTTATCAGAAGTTAGTGGCATTGGTTGTTTATATCAAAGTGGCTACGATCGTCTCGGCAGGCCTTTAATTGTATTTTGTGGTAAATGGTTTCCAGCCAATGAAATAGATTTAGAGAAAGTAAGTCTATTGCTATAAAAACAAGTCTATTGCATAAAATATTAATACTTTTATTTCCATTTATTTCTCAGGCATTGTTATATTTGATATATTTGTTGGATCCATTAGTAAAGGGAGATTATGTTATTGCATATTTTCACACATTAACATCAACAAATAACTACCCATCATTAGCATGGCTTAAAGAAGTCTATAGTATTTTGCCATATAAGTAAGTAAAAAGGGTTAACTTAAAATGACGTTCGACAAACTTTCTTAAAGACTTATCTGTAAAGTTTAACGCTTCAGATATCTCGGACGTCATCTAAAAAATGTTTTGATCATAAAGGAAAATTTATGCTAATTATTATTGCATTAATCTGTTTTTATAGATATAAGAAAAATCTAAAAGCATTTTACATTGTCCATCCGACATTCTGGACAAAAATGATGACTTGGTGGTTTACAACATTCATGGCGCCTGCAATTAAACACAAGGTTCATTCACTGCCTGGAGTCGAACATCTTTATGCTGTTATTTGTAAAGATCAATTAGAAATTCCTGCTTATATTAGGTGAGAAGACAAGAACACATATAAAGTGTTGAGTTAATTAGTATAATTATTATTCTTATCTTAATCCTTAGTGAGTACGACATGGCGATTAATGGACTACATTACTTCCAACCATTTAATAGCAACGCATTCGCTTCTTAATATTCATCATAAAATCAGAAATCTAAAAAAATATTAATATTAAAGCATCACTATTAATTCAATAATTCTATCGGAATGAAATTTAAAAAAAAAACATAATTAAAAGTAATATTTTTCTAGTTATAAAGTAAATACCTATGACTATTATCATTCTTTAACGTACTTACATTACTTGCGAGAAATGGCAAGTGTATCTTCTTGAATGATTAATATAAAGAGAAGAATTAGTTCTTAATGAGGAATGGGATACATAAAATGAATTAATACATTTATGCTATATAGATGAGTTGATTAAGATATAGTAATATACATAAAAAGAGTTCTTATGAATTTCGTTATTGTAGTCGTAATGAAACCAACCAATTAATTGATGATTGAGATGATTTTGTCATTTGTAGTAATATTAATCTTCTCCCTTCATTTATTACCCTCTTAATAATTTTTTGAAAGGAAGATCCTTTTAAAAGGCTGGGCAATCGAGGCAAGATTTAAATGATTTTTTTAAGTCAAAATAAAATTGTTTTTTTTTCTTTAGATCTGAAATTGCAATTGAAGGAATCTATTTAGACTAATTTATGGATAAAGCAATATTTCTTAGTGATAATTATGATTGATGTACAAAATTTGGCGGCTATTAAGGAAAGGTTTGATTAGATATGGGATGTTCATGTATTATTCTATCGAAATCGAGATCCTTGGATTTATTTGCTAATTATTTGGTTACTTATCAACAATAATAAGTAATTTTGAATATTCCTGATAAGCACAATGTCAACAGATTCCTTTAATTTTGCAAATTTCAACTAAGAAAATTAAGCAAATTAAAAACGTTTAATGCAAAAATTTGTGGTTAAAAATACTTTTCATTAGAAAAAAAAATATATAAGAAATGATAAAAACCCAATTGTAGATTTGTAAAAGAGATAAAAGAGGTTAATGATGATACAAAGAAGTTATTTGTGATACTAAAATGCATACATTTAAATAACGTTGTTATGAATAATATTCAGTATTTGATTTATCGATTATTTTAAACATTAATTTTAATTATAATTTCTTTATTTTGAGTTAATATTTGCTTACCATTAAATAACCATTATCATTACATATTTGGCAAAACATCCAATTCGTAGTTCAAACGACGACAACACATGACAATTGAACTGATTATGCAGAATTTTCTGATCACTGTACAGTTAATTGCAGAATAAATTCAGTTGAAAGTAATATTGTCTGACTATGATTACAGAATTGAATGTTTTGCGGGTATTATTACATATTTTTAAGTTCTGTAGAAATTGTTTTTCATTAATAAAAATTTTAGTTCTTGAAATGATTTTGATTTTTGATTTCCATAAAATATCTTTCCTGCTTCTTTTTTCTGCTTAATTATTTAAGTCAGGATATCTTGCTATCTAAGATCAATTTAAATACATGACAATGAAACATGTTCGAATCACAATGATCTAAATTAATTCCTTTATTGATGTTAATGTGAGTAAGATCAATTAGATATATAAATCTTCAGAAGACAGCGGTTACGAATCTTGATTTGCAGATTTTACAACAGTTACTCATCAAGACGATGCCAGTGTATTTGCAAAAGGATTTATCCTAAATGTATTCCAAACAATACTCGAATTGGAAGATCATTGAAACCTTTAATATATCAATATATCCTGATACTTTATCCTTTATTCCCTTTGTCATCTAATGTAATTGTAAAGCAAATGCTTTATGCTAATAATAAATTAAAGGAAAAATCATCCAGTATAAAATAATGAACCTAACTTTCAGAATTAGATAGCTTAATGATTCGCAACATAAATCTCGTTGTAATTTAATAATTAATAAAAAGAAAATTCGATTAAAAAAATAAAGCGATCTGTTGAAAACATTTAAAATATTAAACTATCCTTTCCCCTTATTCTATTTAAAGCTCAAATTTTTGAAGAAAAAAAAAATTAAAAAATTGGACAAAAAAAAACTTCCTAATTGAATATTGTAGACGATGAAAAAAATGTGTTTTGCAATTTCTTGATGTTGTTAATTATTTTTCCATGAAATTTATTTTCTTAAATTTATGCAAATGCGACATCATTTCGCATAAAAGTGCCAATTTATCCCACTTACTTTACTTCATATTTCCTCACTAATGTCGATCGCATGATATCAGAAAAGAAATCATGATTAATTAAATGCCTTTAGATTTTTTTTGATGCTTATTTTTTAAATGAATAATTTGAATTTTATGAATTTAAAAAAGCTTAAAATTTGGAATGAGCACATGCTTATTGTTCCCGATTAAAAAAAAACATAACTTAAAGTTTCTTAGTTCGAAAGCTCACAGGGTAAATGCAATCCGAAAAAAATAAATAAATAGAAACAATGTTAACCAATTAATATTAAAGAATGTTCATCGCCTAAAAATAAAGAAATAAAGATGCAATTGTGTACGAAATATTGTTGATGTTGAGTAAATATAAAGCAAATATGTAATTCAATAAGTCTTGGAATACAAAATAACAGAGATGTATCCAGTAAATGAAGTTGTTTAATTTGTAAAAAATTACGCCCTGAAAATTTCTTTCTACGTCTCTGCAAAGTGATCACATCAAACTATCTCCTGGATGCTGATCATATTAAATCAGTTGATCCTAGATGAAATTAATCAAAAAAGTTGTAATATAAATGATGAGAATTTGTCAATAGTTAATAGAAGCCCACCTGAACAGTAATATTACAATAACTACCATTGGCACTCTGCAATAATATTGAAAATAAAATATGATAAAATCAAGTGAAAAAATATTTATCTGATTATAATCAAAAGATTTTTTTTTTTGAAGAATGTATTTAAACTGCTATAGTTTTAGAGATTTTTGAGGAAATAAGAAAAGTTATTTCATTTATTCAAAAATTATTAGATGAAAATATTTATCACAGATAACAAAATTAGAAAGAACGTATGAAGCATTCTGAAGAAATGGATCAAAAACCTTGTTAATTACCGTTTGGTTTAATAATAAACAGTAAATGCAAGAAAGCTTTTGTTCTTTACTTTTTTTATTATTATTTTCAGAGTTGTTAAGCTTTTATGCTGTATTTAAAGTTTATTTCAAAGCAGGTAAAACTTTAAAAGCTATTTATGAATGATGCTGCTGCTCAAACTCGACTCTCGATGATTCTCTATATTTTAAACAATTTTAAATAATTAATTACTTTTAGTTCTTTAAAGGTTTATAAATCAATTTTCAAATAATCTTGAGCTATGTACCAATATGTATTTTTGTTCAATTTAAATAATTAAGGAAGCATCGTCATACAAAAAAGCAGTTCTGATTTTCTGAATCAAATCCGCTCCAAAATTGTTTACATGACACGTGTTTGTCAAGCACGTAACTTTTTATATAGTATTTAACTATGAACGCACTGATAAGAAATGAAGGCACTGATGCATATTGCTTAACCTTAAAGATCAAAATAATCAAAATGTCTAGAAGTGATAAGATTGAAAAATTAGAGGAGAAAAATATTTTTTGTTTATTCTAGTTTTTAAATTCATTCGAAGAGCATCAAAATATTGAAAATAATAGTTTAATTAAGTTATTGTAGCCGTGAGTTCTAATTGTTCTCTTAAATTGCATTTCTTTCATCTGCTGTCAAGAGAGAAGAATCAAAAAATATAAGCAGAAATGAGCGGTGAAAACTTTAATTTAATTAAAAAGCACGTGGAACTTGTTGATTTTATAAAATCATTAATTCTACCAATAGAATGGGCACCGATTGTTAATGTTTCTATGAAACGAAGATATGAAGTTTTCAGTGCCTTTATGTTCATCATGATGGTCTTAGTTGGAGAAATTGTTTGTTTTTATGTTCTTTATTTATCATTGGTAAGTGTTTTGAAATTCAAAGAACTTCTCATAATAAGGACTATTTAAAACAGTTTCATACAGGTATAATTGGAAAGCTCTTGTCCATTGCGTATTTGACATTTATGTTGAGCGATTTGAAGGCAGACGAAACAGGAATTCGAGGACAAGGGTAAGATGCAAACACAAAGTCAATCAAGATAGAATGTCTTATTTATAAATTGTATTGTTTGATTAGCTCCGATTGGGTGAGATCTTGGTCCTGGTGGCGTCATTTTGCTGATTATTTTCCCGCTGAACTTGTAAAAACTGTCGATTTACCACCGACAAAGAATTATTTATTTGCTTGCTTTCCTCACGGTGTGATTAGCTGTGGACTGTTTGCAAATTTCGCAACAAATGCTACAGGATTTCATGAAAAATTTCCAGGAATTAGATCAAAACTATGTACATTGTCATTCCATTTTTATGTACCTTTCTTCAGAGAGTTAGTACTTTCTTGGGGTTTAATGTCACCAAAATACAAGACTATTAAGCATGCATTGTCACAGTCTACAAACAAATTGGCAATATGCAACGAAGATGGTTATACATCAAATGGAGTTGCTTTAGTAGTTGGTGGTGCACAAGAAGCGTTATATAGTCGTCCTGGAAATTATCAAATACATATTAAGAATCGAAAAGGATTTGTTAAAATTGCTATTGAAACTGGTGCTTCTTTAGTTCCTGTATTTTCATTTGGAGAAGTTGATGTGTATGATTCACCTAATAATGAGCCAGGCAGTCGATTACGAAAGTTTCAAGAGAAATATAAAGAATGGACTGGTGTTGCACCTGCAATTTTCATCGGTCGAGGCTTCTTTCAATACTCGTTTGGCTTGATTCCTCGTAGAAGTCCGATTCATACGGTTATTGGATCTCCAATTGCAGTCAAAAAGAATGAGTCACCAACATCTGAAGAAATTAATTCGATTCATACAGAGTTTATGCATGAAGTTGAAAAGCTTTTTGAGAATCATAAGCATAAGTACATCCAAAATTCGGATAATGTTAAATTAATTATGGTATAATTAGATTATTAATCATAGCTTCATAATAATTTTATGTCAGTTTTTCGAGTATTAGAAGCTTAAAATGCATGATAAGGAATAAGTTTAGTTTTAATTTACTTAAATAAATAGTTCGCGAATTTTCGAAAGGATCCAACACACTTAAAATTTATATACAGCGTAATTACATTCCTCATACAAATAATATTTCTTATCATATCAACCACAAATGGATTTATTGAATTAATCTTATTAATTAATCCTTCAATGGAACAAACACTTTTCAGTAAATAGCGCGTCGACTAAATTTGGACGGAATGAAAAGATCCACAACTATTTCTGTGCGTTGGAAGGAAGTAAATGTATGAAAAGAATTGTTGAAAATTTTTATATACCATCAAAAATGAATGTATTCTTAATGAAATTATCAGCAACCAACTTTTTTTTTGTTTCATTGATAAGGTAAGTATGCGAAAATCTTTTTAAGACTGATTGATATTTACTGCTTCTGTGTATGAACAAAAAATCAAAGAGTTCCATTAGTATTGTTTTAGAATTTGAAGAGTGCGGAAGCTCACGTTAAAAATGTTTTCGGAAATATCTGAACTTTGATACATTTAAAAGAAAGTCAAGCCTTTTTATTTCATTCGGGAAATTTTAATCTATTGATAAGCTTTACCTTCATCGGTAAAGCCTTTCATCCAAGATCATACGATAATATACCGTAACATTGTGATTTCATGGAAAGAGTGTGGATTTTATGATAATAACTTAATTAATTTTAAGTGTAATGAGTAAAAAATCGTTTTTGCAATGTATATTATATCTATTGTGCTATGTACTTTAGTTGTGTTATTTATCCATATAAAAGTAGACGTAAACTGTAAATCATATGTCGAAAAAATCGACAAGTCGTCTAAAAAAACTGATACAGCACTGCACGATGATGATGTATCAATCAGTGCGACGATAAATAATGCTAGCGATATCAGTAATTCTTCGTTGGTTGATAATGTTAAATTTGGAAATATTGAAGATACAGGAGAATCCCAAGAGACGTCACAAGAGTCGTTATCAGTTGAAAAGTTTTTTCCGGTACCTTACAACTTTTATTCAGTCGAATCGTCAGAATCGAACGAGCAATGCATTTTGGAACGTTCAGATTTTTATTTATCATGGTGGGTCTACGAAAATGGAAGTTTAAGACTTCCAACAGTAAACCGTACAGCAATGTCAGGATTCCTTGACTTGTCGTTACAATTAGCGACTGAATCTATGCTTTATGAATTTGTGTTATCATTTACAAGTCAAAATCCCAGTGAGGTAAATAATTTCTTGACATTATCATTGATAATTTTGCTGGAATTAAGAGAGTTTAAAAATATCCATGAATATTATTTTTCTTCATTGTTATTATTGTCAGGTGATAAGAATCATGAGTATAGCAAATAATAAGTTGAGTAAAATACCGTCATCAGTTTTAAGCCTTACTAATTCATCCATACAATATTTATCGCTTGCCGATAATAATTTTTACAATTTATTCGAAGAAGAAAATACTACATTCGGTAAGTGTGACTTGCATGCTTATTTTTCATTCAAAGAAAAATATTTTTTTTTTCATTCATGATAGAAAATTTTACTGCGTTCCCGTTGATGACAAATTTATTGGAACTTGATTTGAGAAACTGCCATATGACAGGCTTAAAATCCAGCTATTTTTATAATTTACCGAGTTTGTTTAGGCTGTTTGTGTCTCACAATTACTTTACGACCATTAATGCGGACGATATACATTCATTAGGAAATTTACAGCATTTAGACATAAGTTATAATCATATTCCACCTAATTACACTCAGGTTTATGACGGATTGTTATTAGAAGACGAACTTTTTAAACGCTTACCACGTCTAATGTTCCTTGACTTGTCATATTCAAAACTGAACAATAATAGTGTAACAGCACTTCGGCATCTTGGACCAACATTGACTCAGCTGTCGTTGTGCCATACAGAATTAAAAACTTTGGAAATTGATACATTCTACAATACAGGATTAAAAGTTCTTGATCTTAGTGGAAATAAAGAACTTTATGAACATTTAACGATTAATCATTTTAATTATCTAGTTGATAAACTGGAAATTTTAGTTTTTCGAGACGCTGAAGTTAGTGATAAAGATTTATTTACGTACTTGCAAACACTTAGAATGTTAGACTTAAGAAATAATCAAATAAGTTCCTTAATTCCTTACGACTTTACGTTGCTGAAAAATCTTGAAATTATCGATTTAGGAAATAATCAGATCCGAAATTGGTAAGAACAATAATTAATAAAATACTCGCTGATTATGTTATTCATTGGATTTATCATTTAGGCAAAGCCGCATTTTTGCTGAAAATAGAAATATCAAAGTGCTAAATTTAAGACACAACAATATCACCGTGATCAAGCAAGAGATGCTTCAAGATTTTTATGGAACACAGTAAGTTAGAAACCTATTTCTACAGAGCTTTGCCTTAAATTTTAATTTAACGCATGCTTCATTTATCATTAGGTATCTGGCGATAGGATCAAATGATTTTATATGCGCATGCAATTTGCGTGATTTTATTGATAGAGCAACGAGAAATGCTCTATATCATCATTGTAATGAGCGATCTAAAAGATCAATAGATTTGTCACAAGGACTTCTTGCGAAGGAAAATCAATACAACGTTTTTCTTCGAGAGTTTCATACTATTGTATCTCATTACGAAGAAAGCTACCGAAATATTTTAGCGCCAGTTTTTAAAAAAATGAATTTAGATGCAAGATATTCTCCAAAAGGGCTGAATCAAGATGTAGATATTGAAGAAAATACTGAATCGATTGGATTACAGCCTTTCAATGATAATGATTGTTACAATTTTGATAGCAATCAACAAACCCACATGAATTTTAATTTTTTACTACTGGATTATAACGAAAATGACTATAAATGCTATGACTATAATTTTGGAGAATATAGCTCATCAAATCGATCAAGATATTATTTTAATGAAATTGATTCATGCTATAATGCAGAAGAGACAACAGCACCTTCTTACGAAGGATCATCAGATGATTCTACGAATGTTACAAATCCACCAGAGGAAGATGAGACGACAACTCCAAAAGATGACGATGAATCGTCTTTATTAGAAGAATCATTTGAGTTCGTTTATTTGAATTTATTATTTATTGTACCAGCAGTGATAATTATAGTATTGTGGTTCTGGAAGCGATCCGACATTAAATATTTCTTTTCAATATTTAAGAATTCTTTGATTTTAAGTCTTGATACAGACGATAAGAAAGCACTTATGCTAAAGAATCGGAAAAGATCGACAAACTCTGTTGACCAATTTACTTACGATGTTTTTGTTTCATACTCTGACAACGATCGGTCATGGGTACTTGATGAGTTAATTCCAAACATCGAAAAGCGTACGGAAATTAACATATGTCTACACGAACGAGATTTTCAAGTAGGTTTAAGTATTCTCGAAAATATAATTCAATGTATGGATAAAAGTCGTTGTTTACTGCTCGTTGTATCAGAATCATTTCTAAAGTCAAATTGGTGCTCTTTTGAGATGCATCTCGCGCAACACAGGTAACATAAACTTAATTTAATATTAATCATCGTTTCCTTAATTTATAAATTTATCTTTAAAGACTAATCGAGACAAGACGTGAGCAGTTGATTTTAGTTCTTCTTCATGATATTCCACGAGCTCGACGAAGTCGGACATTGCAATTTTTAATGAGAACAAAGACTTACATAATGTGGCCTACTGATGGAAAAGAAGATTCACGCTTAAACTTCTGGAAGCGTTTGAAAAAAGCAGTCGTACCAACTGATGGTTGGGATCAAGAAAAAAAGGCATCTAAAAAGCAACGACATAGTATTGTATAGTTCGACTGTATATTTTGTACAAAGATTTTAGATTTAAATTGTAATTTAATAACTTTATTAATATTTATGGCAGTAAAATCGTACAATAAAAGCTTAAATGATTATGATACTTAAAAATGTGTTCAATATTTCAGGATTAACATTTCTCTAAGAGTTTTAAAGCTCCTAATTCGTATTAAATTAAAGCCAAACTCGGTGGTTGTATTTGTATAAACTTGATTTCTTAAATGCCTTACTTCTACTACAAACTAATTGAAAACATTTCCATTGAATTAATGACAAAATGTTTATTTGTCATATCAATTAGTTGATTCTTCAAACATCCTGTAGTTATTGTAGATTTGATACACACCAAAAAATCCTAAAGCAGATGCAGCATATCCAGAGACTGTTATAATTCGATTCAACACTTTATCTTGCCATGCTCTATTGTCTATGCACTTTTTATAGGGCATACATGTAAATGATACACTTCCATAAAGCGGTACCCAGACATTTGGCATCATCCAATGCAATAAATCGTCTACTGCTTTTCTAAACAGAAATGCTACGTATAGAAGCAGAAACAAACATGTAATTGAGTATGAAACAATAATAATTATTCATGCAAATCAAATTTACTCACATTTCTTATTCACCAAGTCTCTCATTTCAATATAGTTATACATTGCCAAATCACAAACAGCATGAGCATCTTCCCATCTGGTTTCACTGTATTCGTTAAGTATTTTTTCCAAGTCTGATCCATACTTGTTAAAAAGTCTCGACAAAATTGTACAGTCTTCAAAACCTGCATTCATTCCCTACAAATGGAAGTGCATAATAAATTATCAGTTAATTTATGATTTTACTTCTTTTTACCTGTCCATAAAATGGAACAACAGCATGACCTGTATAGAAAAAAAAAGAAAATCATGAATGAACGTAAATAGAGCTGATAAATAATATTTAGTAGCTGTTATCATCTGTTACTGACCTGCATCACCAATCAGAACGCATTTTGACGAGATATGATATGGACGACATTTCACTGCCATTAAGTGTTGAGCTGGAATCTTGAAAAAGTCTTTGACCAAACGTTCCTCGCCAATTAATGGAATGGAATCAGGGAAAAATGTTTCGAAAAATTTCAAAAGTTCATCTGATGACTTTATACTATCAAAATTCTCAAATGGCATGAATAGCGTAACAGTCCACGTACGGTCTTGATTCGGCAAAGCAATCATCATAAACTTTCCTCGTGGCCATATATGTAAGTAATTGGCTGGCATTAAAAACTGATAAGAATACAATGATTTTTGTTTAAAATGTTGTTTTTGCACATAATCAAATAATTTACTTCTCCATCCTTTGCAGGAGGTATACAAAGTTCGAGATAACCATGCTCAATGTAAATTTGTTGATAGTTGAATGCATTCTTCTTGAGAAATTCTCGACGAACTGATGAAAATGCACCATCACATCCAATAATTAAATCCGCATTTGCTGTCTCTTCTTGTTGTGTTGATGTGCTAAATGGAAATGATATGTTAACGTATTATGATTTAATATTATTGCTACGTGACTTACTCAACGAAATGTACTTCGCCTTTCTCAACTTTGCCACCCGACATTTTCTTATTGAATTTTAGATTTATATTTGGATATTTTTCAGTTGCTGTAATATGATATATCGCATTACAATTTATTTTACTATGACTTCTTTATTGCACGTAAATCTACCTGTTATTAAAATTTCATTCAAGTATTTTCGGCCCACTGAATAAATGGCTTGGTTACTATTTCGATCATAGGGAATGACGTTCCTAGTCCCATCAATATTATGAATCATTCGTCCATACATTGGAATACCGTGTTTAAGCATCTTATCTTCTAGTCCGACTTCTCTTAATGCAGTTCGACCACGAACAGATAAGGCAAGATTTATACTTCTTCCGATAACTAGCTCAGCTGTCCGAATGTCTATAGATTATGAAAAAATCCAGTTTAATTTAATTTTTATAAAATACTAGCATAATTTTCAATACCTTCTCTATACTCGTAGACTGTCACATTATGTCCGCGTTTCCCCATGTGCAATGCTGCCAATGAACCGACCTTGACATCGAAACAAAAATATTAAAATCAACATATAAAAATTTATTTTTCGTTTACGCTCAATATGAATGCGAAATTTTTAATATGGCTATTAATATGATAAGCATGGATTTTAAAAATAGAAGTTCATTGAATCAATGACAAATCTATCTCTATAAATAGGTGAATCATGTGCTTATCACTAATAATTGGTGAATCATTCTCAAATTTATTTAAACGTGACTTTTGCTAATCTTGTCCGTGCTGTCGCAAATGGGACATATCAACAGTAATCTATATTTTTAAATTATACTAGACTTAAAAGTGTAAATCGCTCTTATTTTGATAATTACAAAGTAATCAAGTTTAAGCTGTCAAGCAAATGTATTTGAGTCACTTTTTAATATAATATTTGATCATTTGATTAGAAACGGTTAAAAAATCACATAGCACAAAAGCCAAGTCATGGAAACTCCTTAACTAGTGTATCGGGTGGAAACATATATTAACACCAAAATAAATTCTCGTCTATAGACTAAGCTTGGCTCAGAATATGTTTGAAAATGTAAAGCTTGATGAATTAGTTTTGCAATTTTCTCAGCAACTCCTCTACCAATTTAAATTCAGTTTTTAACAGAAGAAGATTTAAGTCATTCTGCTTCGTTTTCGCTCAAACTTCAAAAAACTGATTTTTCAATCTGAACAAAAGCAATAAATTCACACGTGAATCTGATGAATATAAAAAGCACATTTATTGGTGAGTTTGTTCTATAGGGAAATGTATGCTTAACAATATAATGAGATAGGAAAGAAACTAGTGTCCCAGGGTTTTTGAAAAAAAATATTAATCCTCTTCTAAATTCTAAAACTACCTCGAAAAATATGATAAAGCTAATTTAACAAAGACTAAAATCATACTAGTGTCATAAATCAGACAACTAAGAACATAATTGATTCTTTAACAGGACACTTGAGATTATCCACCAGTTATGCTCTCAACAAACAAACATAAACACAATATATCCTTTTTTTAAAATGTGTTGTTTCTTTGCGTAATCAGTGTTTTAAGGACTTCAAAAAAATGATTTTTGGAATTTGTGGGACTTACGAAAACAGGAGTTATCGAAACAAATATGTTTTCTAAACAATAGATCAACGATTTCAGGTCCTTTTCGTTTATCAATGATTCCCTATTTTATATTACTATCTTTTCAACAAGATGATCCAATGAATGATGATATTTTTATTGAAATTTATTTTAAAAGATTTAAAACTATTAAGATTGTTCGAGATAGTTTTAAAGAAGAATTTTTTGACAGATTAATCATTTAATTTTTTTTGTAATCTCATTAGATGTTGGAGGAAAGTTTATGAAGAATTCGTTATCTTTCGGAAATAATCAAACAGAACCAACACACAGATTATGGATTAAAAAATGAATAATCCTTTTAGAACTTGTCTTGAATTTCATAATTATTACCAATATTACTTACCAATCCACCTCCAACTACAGCAATATTTAAAGATTCATTTTTATACCCATTAATGGTGCCATTTTTTCCATTAGCATGCTGCATTTTGTACAAAATTTAAAGATCCTCGATTGCACAAAACAAAAAAAAGTTGAATGAAATTGATAAGAATTTTGCAATAAAAATTTGTAAAACTCGATGATTTATTCAAAAAAATATTTAAATGCAAATTGTTGATGCCGCTTATCAGCTTGTACTTATCACTCTGAATACTTTTTACGTCTAATCTGAACGATGTTAAATTGAAAACTGACTTAAAAATTATTTCATGTCATAACAAATTGCCGACTCTCTTTACAATCGAAGCCTTAAAAATGCCTCTTCTCAAAAACAAATATAATATTATCATTTCCGACGTACTGTTTCTTCTATCTATCTATTAGGGTTTCTCATTCTCGACTTAATAAAAAATGCATTTTATGGATTTCTTTTGGTTTTTAAATAGACACTTTATATTCTGTTGACCTTTATCAATACAAGTTCTTTACATTTTTCATAATCAAAATATTGTTTAAAGCTAGTAGACATTTCATTGTACTTCAATATTCCAGCAGTTTCTTGTGAAAACTTTTTCATAAAGAATTCATACATCGGTGCAACCACACAGTCAGTAAAGACATATCTTTTCTCCAATGCAATATACATTTCCTTAAGTTTTGGTGAGAGTTTAAATAACTTAAGAATGGTTTTGATGAAGCCAATGGAAATATCGTCATCATATATCACTGTGAGAATGAGATTAATTTTAAGTCAATAATTACTAATTGGGTCAATTTATGATTCTAAAGTATAATTGGGGTGTATGTTTAAAAAATTATTGTTTTTATAGAAAAAGGTTAAGAAAATCAAATTTTTTAAGAGTATCACCAGTTATTGACCCTTTAAATAATACAATATAAGAAATTTACCATCAGCCACAAAGCATATGTCAATATCAGCAAGAGCTTTTTCCAACTCGTTTGACCATCTATCGGCAAAGAAGTCTAATTCGTGTATTTCAATGTTGTTCCTATATTTTTGGTAGTGATCGTTAAGCAGCACATTTCGTCTTATCAAATCAAGTATTCCTCCAATGTTAATGTCTGTACAAAGTACTTTCTTTGAATACATTGATGCAACAATTGAGGTAATGCCAACGCCACTTCCTAGCTGTAAAAATAATGTTTTGCTGTTAATTAATTAATTTTTATTTTGTGGGCATTGCGTGAATCTTTGTCATCATTGAATATGATTAATCTTTTGTGTTAACTAAACCCACTGATTGGAAGAATTGCCCACGTGTAGCTTGATGCTTTTTATTCCACTTTGACAATTTTACCTCTAAAACATTTTTATCCAAAAACATGTCTGGATTATTGAGAATAAAGTCATTCAACAGGAAAGCTCCGCGCCAAAGTTGCAAGCCAACTTCCGACAAAATTGACGATTTTTTATGTTCTACATGAAGATTATTTTAATTAGCATAATTAAGAAAATATTTTATTTTTTCGATTCACTTGCCAATTTCAATGAATTCATTTTTCTTTCTTTTTACTATGATGTCACTTTCATTATCATGTTGTAGTTCATTTCTTTCGTCAAGCGTTGTGGTAGGTTTGTTGAATCTATATTTAGAGATCACATCTGTAAACAGGCAACAAAATAAAATTTATTTGCAATGTAAATTTCAAGATCACAATTGTAATTGCCATTGTCAATTGACAAATGAACTCACTTCCGTTAGCAATTGTGACACTACCGTAATCATTTTCTTCATAGATTTCTGATGACACTTCCATTATATTCACTTTGCTTATTAATTGAATCAAACTGACTTAAATTATTTTTGGAATCAAAGCTATTTGAATGGATTTTTTCATATAAAATTTTTTTTTTTTATCCACTTGTTGAGATGAAGGATGAATTATTATGACTTGATTCTTTTCTAGTCAACGATGAGAAAAATAATAATCACGAGAATTCAAATTTTTCTTTTTTTCTTTTCAAAAATAGATTTTCTTTTTATTTTGTTTTTATTTTGGTTTATGCTGCGAGAGAATCCTCTCACAAGTTTGCTAAGTATTAAGGCACAGGAAGAGAAGAAATGCTTTTTGTGAGAGACTTTTTAAATTTTATTTAGAGACATTCATACAACGTGGTTCATGATTCGTTTGAATATTGTTTAAAAAACCACCTGTAACGTATTTTGAATTAAATTCAGATTTTAAATAATTTTAAACAGCGCTGTCTTTTGAGATTAAGGCACTGCGTTTCGATTAAACTCAATTACAACGACTATTAAAATTTAAAGAATAAATATATATTTTAAGTCTGCATGATGTTAAGAAATGGTTTTTAATTCTGTGTCGAATGATTAATAGTAAGCTGTGCTGAAAGTAACAACAGCTTAATTTTTCGATGGTAAGAGATCGCGAGGTGAACCGAAGAACTCATGTAGCCTTTAACCCTAAACTTAAACTGTAGTTCTACCTCATGCAGAAGTGAAAAACTCAATCAACATTATTTATATTCACACCATTTTCACGTGTGAATCTATTGGTTTTGTTCAGATTGAAAAATCAGTTTTTGGAATTTTGTGAGGATATGGAGCAAGATAGCTTAAAATGTTCAGAAATGAAAAGTTTGTGCCTTGAATTTCAAATCTTTTGCAAAAAACAGATTTCAAATTGGTTGCGGCATTGCTGAGAAAATCGCAAAATATGCTTTCTGTAAGCAAGCAAACAAGGAAACAAGCAAGTTAATCAGCAAGAAATCTCAATAACGAGACATCGTAGAGACTTCTAGTTTTTTACATTTGATCCGTGCTGCTCTATAGAAGAGCTATATTGTTTTTGGGCAAGGTAGGAACAGTCGTTGCATCAAAAAAAGCAAAAAACTTTCTTTTCTTACGAATTTTTCAAAATTAAAAGTTCACTGTGATTTTTTTTTAAATTAAACTTTGGATGAAAAAAATTTTTTTGAGCAAAGAACCAAGAAGGAAATACGTTTTCAATTTTGGACTATGGGCTAGGGTTTGTGGAAAACAGCTGTTTTTGAAAAACAGTCTGTTTATGGTTTTTGATTTTTAAAAACAGCTGTTTTCCTGTTTTTCTAGAATTCAAAATAAACTGAGTTATCCTAAGTGTTTCTCTAAGATATAAGCAGGTGGTTATAAGCAGTTAAGCATACATTTTAGAGCTAAGCATTATTATTTCTTATTTTTTTATGTTAAGTAACTCTAAAAAATATAATGAAATATAAAAATGCAAAAAAAAAAAATCCAAAAAAATTTATACCTTTAAGTAACATTGCATTGTTGCATTGTAAAAGTTCCATAAGCTCTAATATTTTATTTGAAATATTCAAAAAATCTTTCTGAAAAAAAAATATCTTATAAAATTGTTGATTATATTTTTAAACTTAAGTAAATGCTACAAAAGGTTCAACAAATTTAAAATTTCGATTGCAAAATTAATAATGATTAACCATAAATTTGAAAATGATTTCAAACCTATTAAACATCCAAAAAATATTAAAATAGTAAATACATTTCAATTTGAAATGCTAGAAAAATATATTAAGTTCTTCAAAAAATTAAGAAATTTTTTTTTTCTGTAAATTTTATTTAAAAATGAAAAACAGAAAACAGATCTGTTTTTAAGACCTGTTTTCTGTTAACAGGTTTTTGTCGAAAAACAGCTGTTTTTCTGTTTTCTGTTAACAGATTCCCCAAACTCTACTAGGGGCGACCCTAGTCAAAATCAATTTTGTCACTTTTTTCTTCGAGGGTTTATCCAAATGGATTGAAACTTTGCATAAATATTCTAATGCTTAAAACAAATACAAATAAAACATCCTAAAATTTTTTTTAGCAAAGAACCAAGTAGGAAATACATTTTCAATTTTGGACTAGGGGCGACCCTAGTCAAAATCAATTTTGTCACTTTTTTCTTCGAGGGTTTATACAAATGGATTGAAACTTTGCATAAATATTCTAGTGCTTAAAACAAATACAAATAAAACATCCTAAAATTTTTCTGAGCAAAGGACCAAGTAGGAAATACATTTTCAAATTTGGACTAGGGGCGACCCTAGTCAAAATCAATTTTGTCACTTTTTTCTTCGAGGGTTTATACAAATGGATTGAAACTTTGCATAAATATTCTAGTGCTTAAAACAAATACAAATAAAACATTTTAAAATGTTTTTGAGCAAAGAACCAAGTAGGAAATACATTTTCAATTTTGGACTAGGGGCGACCCTAGTCAAAATCAATTTTGTCACTTTTTTCTTCGAGGGTTTATACAAATGGATTGAATCTTTGCATAAATATTCTAGTGTTTAAAACAAATACAAATAAAACATCCTAAAATTTTTTTGAGCAAAGAACCAAGTAGGAAATACATTTTCAATTTTGGACTAGGGGCGACCCTAGTCAAAATCAATTTTGTCACCTTTTTCTTCGAGGGTTTATACAAATGGATTGAAACTTTGCATAAATATTCTAGTGCTTAAAACAAATACAAATAAAACATTTTAAAATGTTTTTGAGCAAAGAACCAAGTAGGAAATACATTTTCAATTTTGGACTAGGGGCGACCCTAGTCAAAATCAATTTTGTCACTTTTTTCTTCGAGGGTTTATACAAATGGATTGAATCTTTGCATAAATATTCAAATGTTTAAAACAAATACAAATAAAACATCCTAAAATTTTTTTGAGCAAAGAACCAAGTAGGAAATACATTTTCAATTTTGGACTAGGGGCGACCCTAGTCAAAATCAATTTTGTCACTTTTTTCTTCGAGGGTTTATCCAAATGGATTGAAACTTTGCATAAATATTCTAGTGCTTAAAACAAATACAAATAAAACATCCTAAAATTTTTTGAGCAAAGAACCAAGTAGGAAATACAATTTCAATTTTGGACTAGGGGCGACCCTAGTCAAAATCAATTTTGTCACTTTTTTCTTCGAGGGTTTATACAAATGGATTGAAACTTTGCATAAATATTCTAGTGCTTAAAACAAATACAAATAAAACATCCGAAAATTTTTTTGAGCAAAGAACCAAGTAGGAAATACAATTTCAATTTTGGACTAGGGGCGACCCTAGTCAAAATCAATTTTGTCACTTTTTTCTTCGAGGGTTTATCCAAATGGATTGAAACTTTGCATAAATATTCTAGTGCTTAAAACAAATACAAATAAAACATCCTAAAATTTTTTTGAGTAAAGGACCAAGTAGGAAATACATTTTCAATTTTGGACTAGGGGCGACCCTAGTCAAAATCAATTTTGTCACTTTTTTCTTCGAGGGTTTATACAAATGGATTGAAACTTTGCATAAATATTCTAGTGCTTAAAACAAATACAAATAAAACATTCTAAAATTTTTCTGAGCAAAGGACCAAGTAGGAAATACATTTTCAAATTTGGACTAGGGGCGACCCTAGTCAAAATCAATTTTGTCACTTTTTTCTTCGAGGGTTTATACAAATGGATTGAAACTTTGCATAAATATTCTAGTGCTTAAAAAAATACAAATAAAACATCCTAAAATTTTTTTGAGTAAAGAACCAAGTAGGAAATACATTTTCAATTTTGGACTAGGGGCGACCCTAGTCAAAATCAATTTTGTCACTTTTTACTTCGAGGGTTTATACAAATGGATTGAAACTTTGCATAAATATTCTAGTGCTTAAAACAAATACAAATAAAACATTTTAAAATGTTTTTGAGCACAGAACCAAGTAGGAAATACATTTTCAATTTTGGACTAGGGGCGACCCTAGTCAAAATCAATTTTGTCACTTTTTTCTTCGAGGGTTTATACAAATGGATTGAAACTTTGCATAAATATTCTAGTGCTTAAAACAAATACAAATAAAACATCCCAAAATTTTTTTTGAGCAAAGAACCAAGAAGGAAATACATTTTCAATTTTGGACTAGGGGCGACCCTAGTCAAAATCAATTTTGTCACTTTTTTCTTCGAGGGTTTATACAAATGGATTGAAACTTTGCATAAATATTCTAGTGCTTAAAACAAATACAAATAAAATATTTTAAAATGTTTTTGAGCACAGAACCAAGTAGGAAATACATTTTCAATTTTGGACTAGGGGCGACCCTAGTCAAAATCAATTTTGTCACTTTTTTCTTCGAGGGTTTATACAAATGGATTGAAACTTTGCATAAATATTCTAGTGCTTAAAACAAATACAAATAAAATATTTTAAAATGTTTTTGAGCACAGAACCAAGTAGGAAATACATTTTCAATTTTGGACTAGGGGCGACCCTAGTCAAAATCAATTTTGTCACTTTTTTCTTCGAGGGTTTATCCAAATGGATTGAAACTTTGCATAAATATTTTAGTGCTTAAAACAAATACAAATAAAACATCCTAAAATTTTTTTGACCAAAGAACCAAGTAGGAAATATATTTTCAATTTTGGACTAGGGGCGACCCTAGTCAAAATCAATTTTGTCACTTTTTTCTTCGAGGGTTTATACAAATGGATTGAAACTTTGCATAAATATTAAAATGTTTAAAACAAATACAAATAAAACATTTTAAAATTTTTCTGAGCAAAGGACCAACTAGGAAATACATTTTCAAATTTCGACTAGGGGCGACCCTAGTCAAAATCAATTTTGTCACTTTTTTCTTCGAGGGTTTATACAAATGGATCGAAACTTTTTATAAATATTTTAGTGCTTAAAACAAATACAAATAAAACATCCTAAAATTTTTTTGACCAAAGAACCAAGTAGGAAATACATTTTCAATTTTGGACTAGGGGCGACCCTAGTCAAAATCAATTTTGTCACTTTTTTCTTCGAGGGTTTATACAAATGGATTGAAACTTTGCATAAATATTAAAATGTTTAAAACAAATACAAATAAAACATTTTAAAATTTTTCTGAGCAAAGGACCAACTAGGAAATACATTTTCAAATTTCGACTAGGGGCGACCCTAGTCAAAATCAATTTTGTCACTTTTTTCTTCGAGGGTTTATACAAATGGATCGAAACTTTTTATAAATATTTTAGTGCTTAAAACAAATACAAATAAAACATCCTAAAATTTTTTTGACCAAAGAACCAAGTAGGAAATACATTTTCAATTTTGGACTAGGGGCGACCCTAGTCAAAATCAATTTTGTCACTTTTTTCTTCGAGGGTTTATCCAAATGGATTAAAACTATGCATAAATATTCTAATGCCTAAAACAAATACAAATAAACCTTCGCAATTGTAATTGGATAAACCTTCGAGGAAAAAAAGGCAGCATAATATTCAAATAGCAGCATAATATTCAGCTCGAATAAGTTTTCAATTATAGATTTTAAAGATGTTTTTGAATTTTAAGGCAAAGATTCTTGTTCGTTTGGAAGAGAAGGTGCAGAAACTTCTTATGATGATCTAATTCGGAGACCAACTTGCAGCCTCAAATTATTTCGATTTCTGTGGTTATTTCATTTATGATATTTGATGCCTACCAAAAGATGAAAGCAAATGTAACAACATAAGTAACGACAAAGCTATTTTCTAATTAATTAATCACAATAATGAAGTATGATTGTGATAGCTTAATATCCCAAAATAAAAAGTTAATGAGATTATCTTTTGAATGGCAGCTACCGCCTTAAAATGATCACAACTTAAAAGTATTACAAATTGTCAGAAATCATTAATCTCATTTTCTGTTTTCCAATCAAAATGTTAATGGATTTTTGATTTGATTGCTTCGCGAATAACTGTTTGTTCTTTCTCATAAATCTTTCAGTCTTCTTTCCTTTATGCTCATTATATTCGTTGTCTTGACTTCTATATGTATACATATGGATATAAATTATGCGATAAAATGTATAAGAAGTAAGATGATTGAATATGAAACAGATAACAGCACGTTCTATATCAATCACATGTAATTAATTCTGAGAAGCAGATATACTTTTTTGAAATAGAAACTGAAATATTTACAGTTCGCTGAACTGGATATTTCGCATGGAATTAAAATAATTATTTTCAGGAACATAAAAATTTAAGAAAAAGGTTGTCACAAGTTTTAAAAATTTAAAGTTTTTTCACTTCTACTAAAATGTTCCTTGTTTTTATAGCAACACACAAAATATTTCTTCTTAATTTTCAAATCGCTAATTCCTGTAAGAATATCAATGCATGAACATCATCGACAATTTTTTGATCGTGAATTCAAATTCAAAAGTTAAACCTAATTTATCAGAAAGAAAATCAATGAAAGAGGTTGAATAAAATTTAAAGAAAAAATAAAATTTTCAATTATAAATAGTCATTATCTAAAGATATCAGCAATTTATGTAAAATTCAAGATGCACCAACTTCGTTTAAATCTGAGCTCGAAGTCCACTCGAGTTGAGTAAGTACTATTTTTTTTTATTTATTTATTTATTTCCCTCCTTCCTCACTTCTTTCGGAAAGGAAAAAGCCTCCTTAAACAGTACTTAAACTGTTTGAAGAGGCATAAAAAACCTTTCAGGAGACAGAGAAAAGTACTTATAACCTAAATCATATAACAGATAATTAAGATAAACTGAGATAAACATTAAAGTTTAAGCAAAAAGAGATCAATGAAACATAAGCTTCCTTGAAGATCTCTTTTGAAGAATGTAATATTGAAGCTAATAGATAAGTGATAAATTGATTCTTGAATTCAGTAAGTTCAATCAAAAAAGCAGAATAAGGGTTAGACAATAGTTTTGAACTTGACTTTTGAATCAAGTATTTGTTTCTTGTTGGCAGAGTGTTATGTCGATTGGATTAGGAATCCAACTTTTGATTTCCAAAATATCGCTGATGTCATTTATTGCTAGTTTTATTGCATAATCCTTTTTGACACTATGTCACCACTCATGAAGACACTAAAGTTTTTATCCTTTGCAACTTCTCTCGCTTTAAACATCAAAAAGCGGTTCAACGGAGTAAGACTATTATCAAAATAAATTTTGCTGTTTTTCGCAATTTTCCTTGCTTTAAGAAGCTTCATTTTTGTATCAAAGCTTTTGAATTCGATCACTACGGCAGGTTCAGCTGAACACTTTCTAGGGCGTTGGAATGTGTGTGTTATTCGTCAACATAACTTATATATCAAAAGATAGCTCATTTGAAATGGCATAATTTTATAAAACATTTAAATTTTTTGAAGAATAAAAATTGAAATCAACATTTACATTTAGACCAAAAAAGATTGGTGTGGAAAGTAAAGAACCAAATCCCCAAAAAACCCAAAATTCTAGTAAATATTCACTAAGTCTAATAGAAAAAACTGTAAAAATTTTAGTAAGATTAAAGCGAAATTTAATAAGATATTGTTAATTTTTGTTCAAGTGTGGTTAAAATAATTCCACCCACTGAATATAGGGTACATATATTTATATTTATTTTAAATCTATAACTATAGAACATGTTTTTATTATTTTTTAAATACATTAGAATACGATAGAATTTGATAATAAAATTTTGCTCCAAATTTACCTAAAGTTACACTTATAATACTTTTATGATTAATATTAAATTTATTTTTGAAATATTTAATAGATATAAAGCAAACTATAGCTCTATAAGCTTTTAATGTAAAGCAATTTATTTTATTTTAATTGGTATTTTCCAATACCTTTTTTTGACAAAACATGAGTTTTTAGGTATTTATTGAGACTTGGTTTTTTTAGAACTATGAAAAATACTATAAATTTTATTTATGGGGAGATAAAAAAAATCACCAAACTAAAATAAATCAACTAGGATTTATGTCTTTTATTTTAGTAATCTACTGAAGTTTTTAAAAGGAAAATTTTTGGTCTCTAATTGGACTCTTTGCACAATTTGGCTTTCCTCCGAATACTATCCATTATCTTCTCTATCCACTATTTCTCGCTCGTAGCTCATTATGTAGTAACTCAAGCCACTTAAGCGTTCAAAACGATTAAGTGGAAAAATCACGGGAGCTGTTTCGAGCAAGAAACATGCTTGCATCTAAATGGACATTTCGTTTTTATACACCGCATGGTAAGCGTTACGGATTAAAGCATATGGGAAGCATGATTCTAAAAGATCTTGTGTAAGAAAATTGGATTCTTTTACAATCTCATGAAGGAGCAAATAAATGGATTCTCGATTTTTAATATCTTCCTTTTCAGTTTCCTGACCCAATCGAAGGAGAGAGGAACTGGCCAAAGCTAAAAATTCAGCCATGCGATCTTCAATGTCATTTTGTCCACAAATTGTGAAAAGGGCTCCAAAAATATCGTTTACAGCTAAAGCTAAGCAATGAATATTATTTGTATGTGCTTCAAGTGAAGCTCTATAGAATGATTGGTCATTTTTAGCCAATTTTGGAATTGATACTGCGACAAATACCATTAATAATAAAACTGTCAAATGTTCCCCTTCATCAATTTCAGGTTTTTGAGCTCTTAAGGCATTCAATAATGTAGGGTCGACTTTACACTTCAATCCTGATGCTGATGCCATTTCAGAAACGGTTTTCAATGGATCTCCACCAGGAACATGATTTTGAAAATCTTTCACTGAGCTTACAAGAAATGGTATTCTTTGTTCCAAAACATCTAAAAGTGCTTCCTGCAAGAGTTGTCTAAAACTCAAAATAACACCAATAATTGTCATTCTCTGTAAAACATTGTCAACATGTTGCAATCTCTTGAAATGTTCTTTCATTATATCAGGTTTATCAAAATTGCTTCGAAGAATGATTAATGTTTCCTTGTTCATCGTTACCATACGTTTTAGTTCTTGAACTTGATTTGCAATGTGCCACATCAATTGCTCATTTATTAGTTTGATTCCATATGGACCAATAAGTTCAGCTAATGATCTTAATTCATTATGATCAGAAAACTCTTCTGGATTGAATGGGATGCATCCTTCGGGTGAAATTGCTACAAATGCTCTTTGATTCGAACTAAATACAATATTACCGCCACTAACTTTTCGAAGGAGCACATCTGAATACCATGAATTATAGTGTGAACTTATAGTTTTCTCACCATGGCTGTCGATTTGTTGTGTCTGTTGTAACAAGCAATTATTAAATATTCGTGTCATGTCAATGTTAACATAATGTTCGACTGTTTGAAGAACATTCATGTATGCTCGAACTGATGCAAGAAGTTCTGATGGTTTGGCAATTTCCATAGTTTCCGAATTGTACATTACCATACCAACGAGAGCTCTTGAAAATCTTGTTTCCAAATGTTGATAAAGGTATTCTCTTGGAGCAAAAGAATAGTCCCAGACATTAACAATTTGACAATAATTAATGGCAAAACATAGTTCTGTCAAAGCCATATGTAGTTTATCCATTGTTGTAAGATCCTCTCTCGTCTTTCGATAACTTTCATCTCCTGGGCGTCTGATATCATCCATATGCTTTTTTAATTTGTCCTTTTTCTTTCTTTGTGTTGCAACTGACAGAATTTTGGCACAATGTTTTGGAAGAAGTGCATCAGCCATCATACACTAGCGAAACGATAATAATTATTATTTTGCCGTTCATAATGAATTTCAATTAAATATTAATTTACCTGTTCATCGCAAATAGTCTAAAAATAAAACAAATTAAAAATGTTTAATTAATTGAGAAGTAATAAGATTAATATTAATATCTTACAGTTATGATATTTTTAGCCTCTTTAGCCATTTCATCCAAAAACATGTTAACGACAGAAATCGATCTTTCAAGAATATGATGTCTTTCTTCAGGACACATTTGATGAGTACAATTTTGAAAATGACTGCAAATTAATGGAAATGCAATAATATATCTATTTTGAGCTGGAAACTCTAAGCACATATGAAATTGATCCTCCAACATTTTGCTATAAAAACAAAATATCGAAAGATCTGAAGTTTCCACAAGCGCCTCATCCAGATTATCAATCATTCGTGTATGGAATATCATTGAATCAAAAAGTCGAGCAAGATCTACGTGATCAGTGATTTTGATTGCGGCTTTTGCAACACTCATATATGATTGTAGACGGAACCAATCAAGACGAAAAGCTCGAAAATCAAATGTCTCACCCATTTCAACTTGTTTAACAGACAATGGAGCAATAGATTGATATAATGAAGATAATATAATACTTTCATCTTCAGGACAAACCTGAAGATTCTGCATTTTTACGTTGAGCTCAATAGCATCATAGCCAGACAAGTATTGAACGTAATAACGCTGAATTACTTGGCTATATTTGCGTACTAAACCTCGCAATTCTTCCATGTGAAATAGTAATTCGGGTAATTGACGATCAACTAAGTCTTCTGTTGATTTTCCCTTTGATTTTGAACTTATTGGAGGATTATCATTATGACGAAGAAGCCACAGAATTTCATCACGTGCATAACATAGACCAATCAAAACATAAAGTGCTTTAGGTCCAAGCAATCCAGCCTGATCTGTTAAAATCAAAGCAAGTTCTTTAAGAGCTGTACGTAAAAACTTTCTACGTTCTCTATGCATCAAAGCGGCTTTTTGTATTGCATGATTATAATAATCTTTAACTTCTGAAATTCTTTTGCCGTATCCTTTAATGCCTTCAAAAGCATTCTGAATATATTGATGAATGTGTATAACTTCATCTCGAAATAGGGCAATAACCCAAGATGATTCCAAAGCTGCAACCCACATGCTTGTTACTTGATTCGACTGACCCAACATTTGATGATTTAGCATAAGCCCGAAAATAATCCATCGGTCTAGTGTTTCGAGTGATATATATTCGCAAGACATTGTATCCGTTTTAGATGGTTTTAACAATGCAGCTTGATTACCGACAAGTGTAAGAATTTGTAATTCACGCCATTTCTCAGCTGTTAAATTGCGCATGGGATAAATCTGAACTAATGATTTTAATGCACTTGTCAAAAGACGCTGATGTGGTATGAATTCGTCAGACAACTTTTTTGTAGCTTGATCATAATCCATAATCATTTGGCCAAGTCGTGGAAAGTTTGGATCACTACCGTTGTTCTGCATCTCGTATGCTGCATTAAATAATCCAAGGACTGCTTTTCGATCATCAACTCTCGACAGCAAAATCATTAAAGAGACATACGTTGTGACCAAGTCCAAATAATTTTTTGTCAATTCATGATTTACAGTAATATCCAGATAAATTTGAAGTGCATCCATTGTAGTTAAAAGTTCACATACATTGTCTTTGAAATCGAGTAGATCAACGAATGTATAGTAGTAAAGTGACAACGACTTAATTATTTCGACTTTGATATTTGTTATTGCTGTCAAACTTTTAGTGTCAATATTTGGAAATTTCTTCACAATAAACTTAATTGATGAATCAAGTCCCTTGTCTGACAAAAATCCTGGCTTAGATTTTGCATCTCCGCAAGCCTTTTTTATGTTATAAATCCTTGTTAAAATCCCAACACCACGATCATTCAATATGATTAGTTTCTCAGATATTTTCTGTTGTATTGGATTCAATTGACGAGCCATTTTTACTTATTTGATGTACTTTGTGCAATAATTGATGCAATTATGTTTGTAATGATCTAAAAGCATAAAAAGAAAGGAGGCTGTTAAACATGCTCAGTTAAGATTTCATACATATACTATTTTGTTCGCTAGATACAGGCCGATCCACAATGAAACACTCAACTAGTCCGAAAAATAATTTATAATTAATGTGGGGGAATAATGCATACAAGGGCGAAAGAAACTAATGTAGACGAATGAAGATAACAGCCTATTGCATTAGAAATGAATTTAGATATTAAATTTTAAGTTTCCGCAAGTTTTTTTTCCCCTACATTAAAAATTACTCATCCGAATATCTTTTTATGCACTATTTAGAATGATATTCATTATATTTCTCACCTATTCTAATTAATCCTTTTGCTATATATTGCAATCTTGATGATGAAATGATTTGGAACTGTATGCAATCAGTATTTTTGAGGATTTATAAATTCTTGTGTACAAGACCTTTAAAAATTGTTTTTTTTTCTTCGAAAATAAAAAGACCGTTATGCTCATTTAATAATAAGATAGCTGGAAATATGAATATCAGTCATATGCCAAAATGGCAGTCTTGAGAAAACTATAATTAAAGTCTTTTTATGAACTTTGAGGACGTAAGGATCAGCAGATATGCCACAATCTTAAGTATAATGATTCCTGCACAATATTTCGAAGACTACATTAAATTTTAAAATATAAATCCAACGGTTTTTAAAATTCAGTTTGTTATATCATCTCGGTAATAACAATAAAATATTTGAAAAAAATAAACGATTTTTAAACAATATATTTATAAATAACGAACTGAATCACAATATTGCTATAAATCTGAATCTTCTTACATGTATATAGAGCATAATCATAGTCTATGATTTGACAGAAAGAATTTCAACTGCTGTTTGTTTTACAATGGAAATGCGGACGAAGCTTATTTCTGCAATATCAAAAACAATTGATTAAGACCATCAATACAACACTGGACGGATGAACTGACTAGTCTTTACAAAAATGAAATATGAAAGTATAAAATTCAAAGTATGCAGAACCACCAGTCATGGGTCTTGTTAAGACTCTCTTCTAAATGATTAAAACTAAAGGATTCCACAACCTTATCAACATTTTACGGACACTTCGAAATTTCTTTCATTATGGTACACTTACTTTTACTACGATTCCTTTAAAAAGTCACGTTTCCATATCTTGGAAAATCATCGTAGAGTGTGTTGCATTGCAGTGATGAAGATGTTCAAGCAAATGAGCTGGTGTCTCGTATCGTAGCAAAATATTTGCAGTTGAATCCATTCTTGTGTAGTGTATGTAATGCTCTCACTTGTTTTCAACAATGCATACCCATTACATGTTTGGTAGGACTCAAAATTTGTTGCAAGCTGAGGAATGATACATCCATGTAATTAAAGCGTTGAGTGAGATGTAAGTGAGGCGTACATTAATAATAGCTACTCAAAAATCCTGATATTGAGAGTTTTGCAAAACAAGAATTTAAAAAAATCATATCCTTATATTGGATTTATCCTTAACAATTTTTTTTCAACTTGATGCTTGAGACTTTAATTATTGCTATACCGATGAGTTCAGACAACTCGATCTCAACGAGCTACTTACTTATGTGAATAAATTTAATATGTTTAGCATCAATATGTGTGATACTAATGAGACATAGTATTTTACTAATTGACACTTACTCCGTGATTATTCTGACAGATTAGCAATTCGTCTGTAAAAGGAAATAAAATAATGTAAAAACTTTTTTTTTGTTTGAACATCAACATCAGAAATTGAATGTGCCCGCCCACATTCATATATATATATATATATTCAATCAAAGTTGTTAAAACATATTCTATTTTACAGAATATGTACACATATCCAACACATTTTGCATGTTGATGTGTACAATGTGTGGCAGAATTCATATGTTGGCAGATAAAATATGTCACACATTGCATATGTGCACATATTTTATGTGTGATGTTTGCACATATTTGATGTGTGACACATTATTTTGTGTCACATATGAAAATGTGTGATGTGTGACACATTTTTATGTGTGTAGATATCATGTGTGAACATGCAAAATCTGCACGTATTTATTAATTTGCGGGACTAAGGTAATATTTTTTTGTAGAATTTATTTAAAAAAATTATTCATATATAATCAAAACAATCAAATATTGCATAAAAGAGTTAATTTTCTCCAAAATATGTTCATCAAACTGTAATTTTAAACTAATTTGACTTTATTTTCAAAAAACTTGACTAAAACTTGATTTACAAGTGATTTAGGGACACGAGTTTTCCTATTGAAGATTCGGTCATAACTGAAGCTCATCAATTTTTTGGATTCTTAGTTTAATCTTCATTTCTCCAACAAATAAAGTCAAATTAGTTTAAAATTACAGTTTGATGAACATATTTTGGAGAAAATTAACTCTTTTATGCAATATTTGATTGTTTTGGTTATATATGAATAATTTTTTTAAATAAATTCTACAAAAAAATATTACCTTAGTCCCGCAAATTAATAAATACGTGCAGATTTTGCATGTTCACACATGATATCTACACACATAAAAATGTGTCACACATCAAATATGTGCATACATCACACATAAAATATGTGCACATATGCAATGTGTGACATATATTATCTGCCAACATATGAATTCTGCCACACATTGTACACATCAACATATTTTTGAAAAAGGCCAGATTCTATTTTTAACCACCCTGTATTCAATGATACTCATATGAGTGCATTTAACAATGATTCAGATTCGGAAAAAATGTTCAAAAATTCAAAAATAACATGTTAATTAAACTTCATCTTTTAAATGCCAGATTAAAGATCTTAAGTTAAGGTATATTCAGTGAAAATATCTCGTTTCAATTTGATGTCTAACTCCAGAAAACTTTAAATTATTTTCAACAAAAATTTGTTTACATTTTGTATATGAAAAAAAACTTTGATTTTCTCTACTTTAAGTTGTTATTTCCTTATCTTGCTAGCTGTTGCTAGCTAAAATGCAATTGAAATCTGAGTATTTTTACAAAACATAAACTATTCATAAGTTAAAAATATAAGATATTTGCGATCAAAGTTTATATAAATTTTCATACAAAATTTGATCATGCACAATATTTTTTGATAAACTTTTACAAACTAAGAGAATCAAATCAGGAGAAATTAACAAAAACTTTCAATTTTGCATTTATTGAGTACATTTACAAGCATAAGATAAACTCATAAGAGCATGTATGCAATTTTTTACAGAAATGAACAATCCCAAAATTAAATATGATAGTCCACCATAGCATAGTATAGTATCTTTCGTCATAAACTGCAGTTCATATCAATATAAAAGAGATGGTGAAGAAAAATCAAAAAATTTGCCTCAATTAAAATTTTAACCAATTCACAGGAATTTGACTCATGCTTTAGCCGAGATTTGTGCCAAAATCAAATGAGAAAAGTTTGGAAAACCCTAAACTTTAGGGTGACATAATTCAAACTGTATGTTTTTGGATCTGACAAAAGTCTGACATAAATTGACCGCACTTTATGCCGACGATCTTGGTCAAAAATAACTTGAAAATAACAACAGAAAAAAACACAACAAAAAACAGCAGCTGATGACCTTCTCATCGTTTGGTATTTGCATACAATTCTCATTCTCCACTCTTTCTTGTACAGAAAGAAATAAAGAGCTGATGATGATGATGATGATGATACAAAGCAAGTTGAACCATAAATTATGACTTTATTCTAATAACTATACGGAATATAGCCATGTAGAATTATGTTATGGATATATTTAGAAATAAAAGGGTAAAAAAGAAAAAGCGATCAAACCAGCATAATCAGATACTAGCACTGATAACATAATATAGAGTTGAGAATCTCATGTTGTGCTGTGCGCGAGAGGAAGAGACAGTGAATCAGCAACTATTGTTTGTTCACTTAATAAATTGGATATTAACTGGGCTTTGGGTTTTTTAAGGCTCATATCAAGAAATAAAGGATTTAAAGGAAACCTTCATCATTGCCATCAGACTCGGAGCTAGAACTTTTTTAACGAGGGAGAATAAAATTTCTAAAATTTGCCAAAGTTCTACAATTCAAAGTGATCTCAGGTTCCCAACGACAAGAAAGAACACAATGGAGATAAAGACATTTTACTGAGATTTAGCAAGCGGGCTCGAGCCTCCTAAAGATCTTTTGATCTACAGCTTTTAGTGGACCATTTTCAATCTTTTCACATTTTAAACACACGAGAACTTCGAAATATTACAGCAAGGTTCAAAACTTGTTAATTATAAAAGGTTTAAATTATAATATTTTTTTACATGCAACATAGCATAGCTATATCCAGGTTCTTTTATGAACACAAAATAGCAAGAAAAGAACAAATATGCGAGTATGAAGAAAGAAAAAAAAAACAGCAAAAAGACATCATCAAATACTCTTGGAGCTGCTGCTGAGAAAAGAAAGAATAAACGATTGCAAGAATCAGTCTACCGGTTTAGCTCGACTGAAAAGCATCTTGTGGATTCGCGCAAAATATAATTTTTTCATTCTCCCTCTTCACATTGTTGAAAAAAAAATAATAGTTAAAGGAATCTCCTATTAGAAGTCACTTTTATAAACTTTATGCACGTTAGCTGTATTATTATTGATTACAATCACAAGGCAATAGAAATAATTACAAGAACGAGTTAGAGAGAATATATTGCTTTATAGAACCTATCGATAAATTAATATCGTTAAAGAAGTTGTTGCTTAGAGAAGTTATAAATTTATCTCTTGGACTTGCTCAAGACGTTAAGTCATCGTTTTATAAAAGGATTTTCTTGTGCATATATTATTGTGTAAATAAGTTAAGGAACCAATCAAACAAGACAAGAGAGATGAATATTTTACCGAAACTGTTAATTATCATTAACCTGTTGCACTCAATTGCCTGCATACATCAGAATGTCACCTCGAAATTAAGCACAGTGATGAATGTTAACAAAGTGTCTTCACCAAATAATCGAATTTCAAAGTTGAGATTAATTTTGTTAAGTGACTTACAGCAGAATGAAATTGTAAGGAGAAGAAGTTTGTGCTATTCATTGTTGTTGCTGCTTTTGATGATGATTTTTTTTATGATATTTAAACCTTTTTGTACCATGAAGCATTTCAAAGCTATAAAATAAAATAGAGAACTCATACGAAAAGAAATTGCGAACGGAAGACATGTGAGACAAAAAGAGTAATAATAAGTATAAGTGCTTCAATTAACATAGCTGAGAGATGAAAAATAAGAAAAAGTTCTTAATTTCATTTGCGGATTAGCCCAAAGCAGAGCTAGATTGCTCCAATGATGTTCATTCTAATTAAAAAATATTAAAATTTCACACAATCTATTCATCATGTCTTATTTGTAATTCTGTGAACTTTCATCAAACCCAATTCATTAATGTTCAGTTTCATGTAAAAGGCCCACCTGTAGATTATTTTATTGATTACTCATTTATGCAAATTACTTTCATGTTTTTACAGCTACTGCATTTAGTTCTTCAATTATGTTGTCTTTAATTTATTGTGACTTTAAATCAACAGGCGATTGCCTTAATTATCAGAAATTTATAAAAAAAAAAACGTTCAAGCTGATTTCCTTATTTTATGATAATAATTAAATTGGCAGTTCATCGCTCGCCTCATAATCAAGTCTTACTTTAAGAATATAAATCTAAAGCAAAAGCACTCAAAAATTGAATAATTCTATTAATAGAACCCAGCAGTTTTAATGTCTCAATGTCATTGAATTAGCCTTTGTAATTGCTTGAATCATAAATCATCTCTTCTTTAGCAATTCCGTTAATATAATCACGATTTTTTCATTATACTGCCTCAAACACTTACTTGCTTGCTTGCTTACATGTTCTTTCAAGCCTCAATCATCACATCATCTTGACTCATCTTGTTGGGCTACATCACAAGCAATCAAAATTACAGCAAAAAGCTGTCCTTGTAAAGATATCAATTGCAATTTGCCGATGAATGAAATAAAGAGGAGGTAAGATAATATGGGAATTAATTTTTATTTTTATTTTTTATTTATTTGTCTCCAAACATTTTTATATTTTGTGACTCTTTGTTTTGTGACTTTCTACCTTCGGCATACTTCATGCTACATTTATCTTCATTCTTTTTTTTCTAGTGTTATTTTTTTTTTATAAATATGTATAAAAGTTGAAAGGCATTAAATAATACACTGTTTATGTCGCTATTATGACGTATGTTTTCGCTCTTATCTTCTTGGATTTCTGCTAAGTCTTTTTTTTTGCATTCTATTCTGTCTTGTTCTGCCATTGTACGGATTTTATCAGTTTTCACATGAATTTTTTTCTTAAGTTCTGTGCATGAAAACTTAACATAAACTCTAATCACCGCTTTTACGGAGGGAAGGGGTTTGAGATTTTGTGATGATTCAAACAAATATCCACTTTTTTGCTTTATATAAAAAGTGAACGGTCCCTAATATGGAGTCATTACTATAAGAGTAGTAGAGAGCCTCTACAAAGAGGCGTAGTTCGAAGGGGTTTGTGGTCCAAGATTGCTAGTAGTTGTAGATCTTCCTATAACTGATATATGTGTTTACTAATGTAAAACAAGTCGGGTTCAATGGGAATCGAACCCACGACCTCAAAAGAAGCTATCTCTGACCACTCGATCAGAGTGACTCGAACTAACCCCACTTTGGCTATCCGTCATACACATATAACCAGTTTCAATGCGAGCCCTTTGCTCTTCGAGTCATATCCACAGTAGTGAACCTGCTATGTAAGATACTGTATTATGGTCCAAAGTTTAAAAATAACTGCACACTTGAAAATGTTATGGTTATTCTTTTATTCCACAATCATTCTTCCAGTATTGCATTAAGAAAAAAAGAACCCAAAAGAATCAATTTCGCAAAATTGAGCACAACAACTTGATATGCATGCTTTGAACATTATTTTGTTTTCTTTAACCACTACCATAACTACCCATTTAATTTGATTATACCTGAGAAATCGTTTTGTTAAATCTTCATCATGCAATCCAATGCTATAAAGGTAAAAGAGGAAGCTAGAATGCAAAAAAGTTTATATCTAAGGGTTCTCATGACTTCACCTTTTCTTCTTTGATAAATTACACATTTTATTATTTTTTTTTATCTCACCAGAGCAATTAGCGCAACGTGCATGCAATTCTGCTGTGGTGGAGGATCTCGCTATAGAAAAAATACAATACGATCGATTAGCGATGCTCAAATTCAGCAAATACAAGAGATTGGAAGACGAAGAAGACTCTCATTTGAGGCCAATTGTGAACGTGGAAATCGATCTGATTCATTTGTATTTGCACGAGTTTTTGATAAAATGGAACATAAGACGATTTGTGCTGGCGTGCTTGTACATCATAAATTCCTAATCACCACAGCGATGTGTGTCATGAAGTAAGAAATTTTACCTTCATTAATTTATAATTTGGGATTATTATCATTTTTTTTCCATACTATTGTGTACAGAAAAAATCCACATGATTTAGTCATTAAATTTGGAAGCTATAAGGAGAATAATGTCGAACAGATTATATTACATCAGAATTTTTACAAATCCATTGACACTCTCCAACATAACATCGCATTATTAATGTTGGAAAAGGAATTGCCTGCTGTTATTGATTTACCATGCATAGCACAGACGAATATAGCAAAAAATTTGTGTCATGTATTCTCATGGAGCAGTTCAAAGTTTTTTGAGAATGCCATGAAGCTTGATAATGTTGAGGTGCTAAGCAAAGGAGAATGTTATACATCGCATTTAATACTTGGCAAGAAGCATGAAAAATATGTTAATAAAGGAAAGAATAATATCTGTGTTGGAAATGAAAATCATCATGAGCTGAATATAGTAAGGAATTATTTTTTTTTTAATTCTTAATAGAGATATTTCTTCGTCTGCTGAAACGGTATACTTACTTTGTGGTCTACCTTTCTTTAATAAAGAGAATAATTAATTATGGTGAGCTTTCAAAAGCTCTGAATTTACGTGAAAATTTATACTTACATAAAACGTAAAAAAATACGTACGTAATTGATGTGTAAAAACTTGCGTAAATCATATTCAAAATTACAGTTGATGTGTAAAATCGTATGTAAATGAAATTACTTCGTATAAGACCTGCTTGATCGAGCAACATTCTGAATTATATAATAATGATTACCTGTTGTTACATCGAACAAGTGAATGCGGAAGAGAAACAAAGGAATAGCATTATATGAACAGTTTAATAAGAATTGCTCTTATGTATTTTTTGCAGCACTTGAGTGGATCAGTTTTGACGTGCCACAGTTCCGATCCGAAGAGATCTCAAATTCTGAAAGGAATCTTAACATGGGCAACAACCATGAATTTTTATCCACATTTATTCACTGACGTAACTCAATTTATTGAATGGATCGAAAGTACGGTAAATGAAAAGTTATTTAAAAGTGCTTTAAATTAATCATCATGACGTGACCCTTAATTTATTGCTGCTCAAACTCAATTAAGAGATGAAAAAAAAAGTATAATATAATATAAAATATCATTATATGATGTGTCAAATTGAAACATTTTCATTTTTATTAGTTCTTAAGATTTTTTTTCATTATTTATACAACTATTTTAATGAATGATTAATAAATATTACTTCCAATTATCGAATAGTCTTCCATTTTTTTTTTTAATTAGAAGAGGAGAAAAAATAAATTTACATTTTGTTGGCATTTCATCATTTTTCAGGCTGAACGATGATAATATGCAATAATAATAATATTAATAAAAAGAAATGCTTTCGTTCCAAAATGAAAATATAATTTTGATTATCATCATAAAATATATATAATTTTTTGTTAATGGACCTAAATTGGCAAAATTTATGCTTGCATAAAAAAATCAAAGAAATAATAAAAAAATTTAACAAAAAAGAAGAATAAGAATCACATAACAGATCAGCTACAATTTTGTTTTCTCTCTCATTTCGAATATTGGGTAATCGATTGCTAAAACATTAGTTTCGTTTTGTCCTACTACAGTTCATAAATTTTCTTTTAATGATACCAAATGCACTTGATTTTTTTTCTTCATAGTATTCTTCAATATGAATATTATTGCAAACGTGATTAATATTAGGATCAGTGTTCGTGAAGAATATAAGGAATCTTTAATTTTAACATCATTTCTCATTTAGACAGAAGATTCTTAAATTACGTTCCATGGCATTTTACGCAACATAAAACGTGCGCGAATTTTTACACAGCGAAATAAGAACGTAAATGGATTTATGCCAAAAAAAATTGATAATGTTAAATTATAAGATACATTTCTTCAGAGACACTGATTAGGATCCATCTAAGAAAGATCGTCATAAAGAATAGGAATATGAAAATAAGCAAAATTTGCCTCGTTGATTGCGGCACGAAGCACATTTTCTCATTGGCAGAAAGCTTTTTTTTATGCTACCTAATTGCTAGCTCTGTCAGTAAAAGTGAATTTATTTTATCAAGCTCGTTGTAGCATTTTTAGCTTTGAGAAAATGTACTGGAAATAAAGTTTAAAGCAAAGATTGGACACTGCAAAAATTCCATGGCAAATTGTGGAATCAAGTCGAATTTTTTTGCAAAAAAATGTTTGAAAACGTCCTTTATTTTGTTCCAGCATAGCTGATTTTCAGATCAAGTACCGAAGCCTTTGCAGAATGAATACCAAAAAATAAGAAAATTATCATCATTGTTCAATTAAACTTAGCTTTGCATTTTTTTCAATAAAATTAAAAATAATTACTTAATTAATATTTTCTAAAATTTACGGAACACTTTGAAAAAGTTCCACATTATAAAGTATTTGGAAATCAACGTAACAGATATATTATCATAATTTTTCTCATAAATTGGGCGGAAATAAGAAGGAGAAATTAAGGAAAGAAACTTTAGAAAGTCTAATTATATATGCAATATCTTGAGAAATTAAAGGAAAGATGAAGAGCTTTGCCTAAGAAACTTTTCCGATGTTTTTCACATCATTCGTTTTATTACAGTACTTTTAGTACCTATCTATTTGTGTGTGGGTGTTCCTCGCTGCGTAAGTCCTTCAAAGCGTTTAAACGTATAATTGATAAATACCCAATCTTTTAGAACTTCACCGTCTTGTGGACATGGGGCAGATGCTGGAAAAAAAAACCACAAATTACACCAAATGTAATACAGCAATAAATATAAAAGGATATGCTCAGACTTACGAATTTCTAAAGATACATCAGGGAAATCGTCAAAGTTGGATGTGTCGTCGATTGATCGAACTTCTACAGGAATTGCAGCAGGACGTTCACGGATATGTTCCCAATCAACTCCTTTGAAAAATGGTATTGTTTTAAGCTCCTCAATGCCCTTCTGTGAGCCTAAACGACGCTCAGCTTCACAACAAAATCTTATTATTGTTTCACGTGCCTCTTCCGATATTGGTGTTTCGGGTGGAAAGATTAGAGTTTCTCTCCAATTCATTACTTTTCGATATGTATCTTGTGGATCTATAAAAATGTAATTATTGTACGTAAAAAAATGAACTGTGTACGAGATTATAAGAAATTTATTGCAGATACTTACTATCTGAGCAGAACGGTGGATATCCCATTAACATTTCATACATGATCACACCGAGTGACCACCAATCACAAGCAGGACCATAACCAGTTTGTAAAAACACTTCAACTGCAATATAATCTAATTGTAGGAGACACAGAGGGAGGGGATTAATTATAGTCATAAAGTGAGTGTTAATTAGCTAATTACCTGGTGTTCCAACTGTACTATAAGCTAATGCTCGTCGATTACGTTTCCAACTTTCAGCACGTCGTTTTGAATCCATAGGACTCGCACATGTTCCAATAAAATCAGATGGCTTAGCTTGAGATAAATCACGATAAAAATCTGTACGATGAGATTTTTTGAGTCCTGTGCATAGCCCAAAGTCAGAAAGTTTCAAGTGTCCTCTGGCGTCGAGAAGAAGATTATCGGGCTTTATATCTCTATGTATGAATCCTAATTTATGTATTGAATCAATTGCTAATGCTGTCTCAGCTATATAAAATTGTGTACACTCTTCACTCAGTGTATCTTTCTTCATTAATAATGTCATCATGTCACCACCAGGCAAAAATTCCATAATTAAGTATAAATTCACATGATCCTGAAAGCTGTAGTACATTTTTACGACCCATTGATGATCTGCTTCCACCAATACATCACGTTCAGCTCTTACATGCGCCACTTGTTCTTTCTCGAGCATATCTGCTTTCCTGAGTACTTTCATAGCATAAACATGTCCAGTGTCCTTTTTCTGAACTAATCGAACTTCACCAAATGCACCTCGTCCAATGACTTTAAGCGGATCAAAATCCTCTACGCCGAGTCTTGATCTTTTAAGGCGAAGAAATTCAGTTTCTTTTTGTGCATGTTGGGCTCGTTTTTCTTGTCTCTGAGACTCTGTCAATCCTTCGTCTTTGAGTGATGCTTCTAATTTTGCTAAACGCTGTTTTCGCTCTCCATGTTGCGCTATCAAATTACTATAATAATTCTCTAAAGTAACTTTGGCTTTTGTTGCCTTATCCATTGTGTGGTTTGAAAATCGTATCGGATTATCTATTGTAGGATTCATGCTTTTCATAGCTCTCTTAATGCAATGACAGTTGAATGAGAAAATTATTTCAATTTTTTTACTTGCTTGCTTGCTTATTGCCTCGAAGATTGAAAACACATAAAATTGGAGAGAAAGGAAGAAAATCTGTTTAAAAAATAAAAAGAGCAAAGAGCAATAATTTCATGAATTAGCAGACATTCGTAAATAAATATTTAATCGAAGCGATATTCCTCTCATCGCAAATCCCTCAATGTAATGTGGAAAATGGCTATCTATTAAATAAGTTTTGTAGACACAAGCATGTATGTTTAATGAGATAAGACACATTTAAAAAAAAACGATGAATTGAATGCTTTTGTTTTCCCTACACACAATGAACCATAAAATTAACTACTTAACATCATCACTGACGTAAATTTAAATTTTTTTACTGCTATTACAGCTTACTAGCTTTTATTTTATTTTTTTGTGTTCTGTATATTAAAACCGCGATTTTTCTCAAACACTATTCCCGTTACTCAAAAGAATCTTTCTTCTAAGGTCTTGCATAGCTTTGTTTTTCTTTCTATGCCTACGAAAGATTTATTTTTCCTTTCTATTTTCAGTATGTGCCTGAATTTTTTTTTTCAATACAATATTCTATGCATGCACAAAGTTTAAATAAGATATCCAGTAGTGTTTGTTGTTTTTTTGGGAAACTTTTTAAAAACTGTTGATTTTCTTCGATTTAAATGTATTATGAATATGTAGGTCAAAAGAACAAACAAAAAGAGCTGATTGAAAATGAAAGAAAGAAAAGTAATGAAATGTACATTGTTTTGCTGCCTGCCTTACTGGATGTCGTCAATTCATTAAATCAATATTTTCATTATGTATTAAAGTTATTAAAATAGTCGGTAGTTTTTCAAAGCAAGGCATATCCATCGATTACAACAAAAACATCTCATCGTATGTAGTCACAATACTCTCTTTCTATATAGTTGAATTATGTAGGAATTTGTGTAATATTTTTCATTTCACTTTTCGTGCCAAAAACAGATTAGATTCTTACATTTATGATGTCACGAAGCACTCAAATTTCTAGTTGTTAAGAGCACTTTTCCTACTTTACGTTCGTAAACACTAATTATGTATAGGTAGTTATTTAATTTAGACACAAAAGATTAATCATATTTTCTTTAAATTCTTTCTCGAGTATCGATCTACGATTTTCACTTTTAAACACTTAATATTCACAATTTTGATCAACCTCTTATCTTCTTTTATAGCTCAAGTCCCATTTAATTGTATGAATTAACTTAAATACTTAAATTTTGTCTGGTTCTATTATAATTAATCATTTAATAACATCAAAAGTTTTTCTTCCTAATTTTTTACAATTATTGCGGGGTTGGTAAAGTGGTTCATGTTGCTTAGGTTTTACTCCCCCTGTTGCTCAGTTTGTGTTTTGAAAATTAAATCAGATTTGTTTTGCTCGAAAAAGATTAATTAACATGAATATATGTGCTGTATTAGTGATTATAAATGTGGAATAATGTCGCGTGGAAAGTCTAGAGGTGCTGTAGATATTTGCGGTGATTGTGGATGTGCAGGTAATTTAGATTAATATAAATGATCTAATTTTCTAGTCATTACAAATCATAAAACTATTTTTCTTTAGATGCTCCTTTTGCATCATTAAATCGAGGCATTCTATTATGTAATGACTGCTCATCTGTTCATCGACAGTTAGGAAGTCATATAAGTATTGTAAAAGCTTTAAGACAAGGACAATGGAATCCTTTACTTTTAAATTATATTCATCAAATTAATAATCATGGTTCAAATTCAGTTTGGGAACATTTGTTGCTGGATCCAAATTCTAAGCAGCAAAAGAAAAAACCAACTCCAAAAGACACAATTCAAACAAAATCAGCATTTATACGTGCTAAGCACATGAACCTTGAGTTTGTTCTAAAACCCAACTTGCAAAATGAGAATGCAACAAGTATAGAAACGGAACTAAGTAAACAGCTTCATGCCAGTGTACGATCTGCCAATTTAGAAACTTCTCTTCGTTTAATTGCTCAAGGTGCCAATTGTAATTATGTTCACGTTGAAAAGAACTCGACAACTCCTTTACATGTTGCCGCAAAATTCGGTCAAAGTGCACAAGTTGAACTGCTGCTGTTGTATGGCGCAGATATAAACTCAGTTGATGGCAATGGAAATAATGCAATTGAACTTGCCAAACAGAATAACTTTGCTCAACTCGCAGATAGATTAGTTGAAGCAAGTTATGAAGTCTCTGACCGAATTATTTACTTTTTGTGTGGAAGGAAACCCGATCATGCTGTAAGTTCTCAGCATCAAATTACTAGTTTTTCAAGCTTACATCAAATTCTCTTTTACAGAGTGGACAGCATTTAATTATACCCGAACATAGCAAAGTCGAGATAAATGAGCATTTAAAAATAGCTCGTGGAAAATTGCAATTAATACCGAATAAAATGTTCGAGGAACTTGTAATGGATCTATACGAAGAAGTTGATCGACGTGAGACTGAAACTAGTAAGATACAAGTTTTTATTAAAGTTGTTGTACACAATTGATCATGACTTTTATTTCCATATAGTATGGTCCACATGCTCGACAAACCCAGAGATAGGAGGTGTTCCATTCTTGCCAACAAATCCACATTTATCAGCAACACGAAATCAAGGACGCCAAAAGCTTGCGCGTTTCTCTCACGCCGAATTTTGTGGACTCTTGAATGATATTTTAGTTGATGCTAGACGTCGTCAAAATATCGCCAATTTGAGGCCACTCGAACAAGTGCAATTGAAAAATAAGAATCGTGAATCGACCAATTCCGATGATGAGCCACTTTATGATGCTGTTTGCGAAGATGATGATTACAGTCAATTGCCTCCGTCAGTTACTCAACAGGTAAAATATTTACGTGGTTTAAGGAATACTAACAGCATCGAATAACATAAATTCTCTAGTTAAAATCTCTGTACTAATTTTTATATTATCATTAATTTAGCTGAAATTCATTAACTCATTCTTTATGTTAATCATTCTAAATAAGCTAGTCAAATTAACAAATAACTACAATTATCATGTCGACGACGACTTGAATTTAAAATTAATTTGCTTGTCCTGACATTTTAATGATCTGGTTGATGGAATGTGGGAATATTAAAAGAAAATTAAGTACTCATATCATTCTCTAAAATGCTTTTTTGGCTTTGGAGCTTTTATGTATGTAAGTTGTTTATTTAATATCTATTGTCTGTAGCTAAAGTTTGTTGTGCCTCATATGAAATCTTTTTTGCTAATAAAATAATTTAAGAAACGAGAAATGATAAACTTAAAAACATAATGTAATTAATTATTCATTAAATTAAATATAAAGAATTCAGGCAGTAATGTCAATCCAGTTCAACCTTCGTCAACGACAACATCATCGACATCAGCAACTACATCAACTGTTATAGCACAGCCACAAACTGAGGCCGAAGTTGAAATATTAAAAAAGCAATTAAAACTTCAAGATCTTGCAATATCCGAATTAAAATCGATGATTGAAAAGTTGTCTTTGGAAAATGCATTTTTAAAAAGTGCGCAGTCTGATTCACGTTCAATGTCTTCCACTGACGTGCAATTGTAAGTTTTATGATGACTTTTGTTGATTAATTTTTTTTTTCAATTAATGTGAATATCTTAATTTCAGACGAATTCATGATTCACCAGAAATATTAGTGGATGGTGAGTCATCATCGAAAATGATTAGTGCCAATATCAATTCTATTATGAGTGCTAAAAGACCTGTATCTATGTATGAGGCTAGACAAGTTCCTCGTGATGATATTCGTCCGCCAGTTACACAAAGCCTTTATTCAATGGCTTCAAATTCGTCTGGTTCGTCGACCTCAAACACATCATTGCCATTGGTTGAAGAAGTAACGAAAAGAACTGAAACTGTTACAAGACAAATTCAAGAACTATGGCTTGCTATGCAGGACCTAACGTTAAAAGAAAAGTTTATTCCTTGTTCTGAGCGTATTAGGATTGGTGTGTCTGATCTTATTGCTATATTTCCAGCAAATTTAAGCGAGGAACATGAAGTTTTACGAAATGCTCTAAGACAATTAAATGTTAATACAAATTCCATTCAAAATGAATGCTCAAATTTACAGCGTGCCCTAAGCTCAGAAAATCCGTCAAATATTGACATGCATTTGCAGCAAGTCCGTAATTGTGCCTACAACTTGGCAAAAGCGACTAAAATTTTAGTAACACAATTTCAACAATGAACTAGAAAGCGAGAGAGTTTCAAAATTAAACTAATTAATCAATGACTAATTTTTGAGTAGCTCCTACACAAGATACATGGATGTGTACACGCAATGTATGACGTATGCAATTTTTGAGTAAATTTCAATACATTACCAGTACACATCTATATGTCTCGACCTAAAGTTATTTAATAAAAAACATTTCATATTTAAAATTTAACAACAACTGTGTCAGGTAACTAATTGAGAGACATTATTTTACAAGAGTCAAGTTTTACATTTCTAATCTACGTCTTTTTTTATTGATAGTCCTTAATAATTAATAAATTTTTCTTCAACTTTAAGTATACATTATAAATCAACAAGAACAATTTTTCATTCTATTTAATAATATATTAATTAAATCACTTTTCCCGAGTGCCACATTGTATTGTAAAGCAGGCATCTCTGTTTTGAATGTATGACTTTATGGCTTTGTGATGCTCGGTTTTAAATATTTTTAACAACTGTGCTTAAAGAATTAGTATTTGGTACATTTAATTAATAAAATGATAACGGAAGTGAGATTAAAGCATTATTGAACATTATTTGACTTTAAAATTTTACATGCCTTTAAGACAATAGAATTAAATGTTAGTTCATCATCACTAAAAACTTTATGTCCAGCATTATCAACAACTTCGATGTGTGTATAACTATTTGGACGGCTTAATTTAATTATATAACCTGGCGTACTATCAATCCACGATTGTTCGCCATATACGAATGTTAAGGGGATGTCTGTGTGTAATTCTGTCATTCTAGCAGCCAATGGAAATTTCGGCCATGGACCGTTTTCTAGTAAAGCATGGAAAGCTCTTTCACCTGATATTTTAACGCTATTGCAATGATAAATATATTCTGATATGGCTCTTTTATGTCGATCAGCCATAACACTCTCAAACTTTCCTACAACATCCGTCCTTAAATTTCTGAAAACTGTTGATGCAAAAGGTCCAAAAGCTCTGATAAAAGTAAGTGGTGGGGTTCTCGTGAACAATTTTATGTAAATTCGTTTCAAAATTGAATGTGTTGACATACATGGTGCTGAATCCAATCCCCAAGGATCTAAAAATATAAGTTTATATTAATAGAAAATTTTAATGTGTCGATGGATATATTTCTTACCAGCAAGAATTAAGTGTTGGACTCTCTCTGGATATTTTAGTGCATACAAACATGCTATCCATCCTCCGAAACTGTGCGCTACAAAAAAAAAGTCATGTCATCAAGTGTGAGAAGAGATTTATGTAACGGCTATAAATATGTCCCGTACCTAATAATATCATTTTGTCTAACTTCATTACTTTTCGCCATTCCTCAAGAAATGTAACGTACTGATCTTCAATCTCTTGTGGATTTTCTGAAAATGAAGGGCGCGAACTCTTTCCAAATCCAAGTAAATCGACAGCATAAACAGGTCTTTCGGCGGCAAATGAGTCCAAATTGAGCATCCAGAAAGCTAAAGCACTTGCGTATCTTCATTATTGAAATTAATGATTCGTGAACCATAGAAGATTAAAAAGAATAATGAAAAAAAACAAATGTGGAATAAAATTGATAACATTTGCTTGTCTACGTCTGCTAATCCAAAATTAGAGAAATGTGTGTCACATAATAGGATGCTTTAAGAGACAAGGCAAGACAAGGCGTCTGTTTACATTTGCGGTTGGTTTAAAACATTTCTCTAATTTTTGCGGATATCGTTATTCAGCACATATTGGTGATCACGATGCTAGCACGTGAATTTTTGCACATTTTAAAGCTTCAAATTGCTTCCAATATTTGAAAATTTAGTATTAATGGGGCCGTTCTTTTATTACGTTCGAATTTTAGGGGGGAGGGGGGTATGAAAAATTATAAAAAAATGTAACACATGGGGGGGGGGGTCAAGAAGTATGTAACGTTCGAACTGTCGTCTGTCTTAAAAAAAAGTTCACGAAAAAAATTTGTTTACAAATTCATACCAAAAACATTTTTTTAAATTTTTCACCTTTTTAATGATAAAATAAATTATGAACGTTCAGGGGGGGGGGGGGGGGTTGTGAGTTGTAACATATTGTAACAAGGGGGGGGGAGGGGGTGAAAAAAAGTCGTTTTTTTGCGTAACGTAATAAGTGAACGGCCCCAATATGAAAACTGCTATGCACGGTTTGGTCGGGGTTTGGATTAAATACTTATTAATACTGAATAAAAAGACTGGGTTTAGAGATTCCCAAAATATACATAAGAGTCATTAGACTAAGAAAGTGAAATATAGTGAGAGATTGTGAACAAACAGTAAAGAATTTTCAGCTGAATTGTAAACAGACTTTAAATTAGTAGCTTAGGTAATTAGGATATTAATAAATAAAGAAGCTAACCATACCCATGCAAAAGAACCATCGGCGTGTGAACCTCATGCTCAAGATCAGTATTCATTGCTAAGGTCCATATTCTGTCATTTGATCCTACACAGTTGCCCAAATCAACGAAGAACTTCTTGTATGGTGTTTTCAAGTCTATAAATATAATTGCGGTAGATAAGTTATATTATTTTTGCTTCACAATCAATACGAGATATAGTTCATTGACTTACTTGCTAGCATCAACGACTCTGTATATTCTAATTGCCTCTTGCAATGAACATTCCATCGCAATACTGTTTTCACCACGTTTATAAATCGCCTGCAATCAGCAGTAATTTGTTAAAACATTGATTTTTTTTTGGCGGCATGCAAATATCTTAGAAAATGCTTTAATGACTAGAGGTGACTTCAATGTTGAACTTATTATTTTTGATAAATGAAAAGGTCAATTGACATAAATTATAACTTCATCACTGATATGATTGAATTCTGCTGATATTGTTCTTTATTCTAATATTCATGACCTCGAATTTGAATTCTCTGATAAAGCAAAAAAATGCGCTAGTTTAAACAGAAATATGCAAAACGTTGTTGCACAATCTTTTGGGAGGCTTGAGACTCAATTTCATCACGTCTTTTGTGATTTGGAGGACGTAGAAAGCTCACATATTTCTGGTTTTTTTTTTTTGGTTCATTCAACAGACTTATGCGTGCGCTCCTTTGATGGAGGAAAGATACAAGAAATGTTATGTAATTCATATGGCGCGATGTTGGGTCAACATTAACATTATTGACTAAGGTTCCACAAAAGCATAACTATTGAAGCATTTTTCAGATTGGATTAATTGTGAAATCAAGATTTAATAATTGAAAGGAATTGAGTCATTTTATGGACATAATAAACCTGTAAGGGGTCGATCATAAATGCTGTCCCACTTTTAATATAAATTTATGATGATTGGCATTTTTGAATGAAAACATTTTGACATGGAGGTCTGGAAAATTTAATTTTTTTAAAGGTGTCATTTATGAACAAATCCTCATTAGGTCATTTTCATATAAACATCATAAAAAAAATGTTAGCTCAGAAGATTGCAACGATCAATTTGTATGTCAATCGGAGTTGGAAACTCGTTGCAATTTAGTTGATAAAGCAATTCTAATTATTGAAATTATTAACTTGCCGGAATAAAAAATTTGGGTCATTTGCCTTTGACCATAAAATACATTCTCAAAATTTTCAGATGTTCAAATTTATTTTTAAATTTTTGCGTCTGTATTCTTACATGTTTAATCGTTTGATATGTTTGAATGTAGAAACGGAATTTTTTGAGAAGTTTTTTAATCATCTAAATGATACGAATCTATGGATGTAGAAGCTTAGATGGTTTTGATAAAAAAAAATCCAGTGTGCCTTAGTGTGACTTAATATAAAACAATTGCAATAGAAATTTCTCAACGATCATATTGAAATCAATTTAAAACTCATTCGCGAATGCATTCATAATAGAAACGAAGGGAGAATTGTAAATAAAACACAATTTAATGCAAAACGAGGAAGGCGCTAAACTATTTATTGCATACATTTCTTTCTATTCAACCAACACATTCACAAGCTTTCTTTGACTCGACACAGCTGTTTAGACATATGTTGTAAAAACACTTGTAAGATAAGAATAAAATAATTCAATCTCTACATGCCGATTCTACACTTACATGAAATTCGACTTTTTGTTAAAAAAAATAATCGGTCGCGAAAATGAGAAGTCAAGCCGATAGTTTTTCATGTTTCACATTCATTTGACGATATTACTGGCAATATAAATAGTCACACTCTTCGAGTTATAGAACCTTTTTTACGTCTTACCTTATATCTCGGAAAAATTTTAATTGAAAAAATTTAATTCCGTTTCCATTACACTCGACTGCTTCAATATCCATGATTATTTATATAACTTTTATTTAGGAAGTAATTTCTTGAAATTAAATTTGTAGAAAAACTAGTAAAATATTTTTTAACAATATTTGTAGCTTCTAAAACATTTTTTTTTTTATTAAACTTTTTTCTCTTCTTTACGTCGCGGACGCTCTTTACAAACTACACAAACGTTGTGTTCACTCGCCGATTGCTAATTTTATTATGATTGTGTAGATCAAGGCTGATCACAATTTTTTTTTGTCTCATTTCACACGTGCTTCTCTTCTTTCATACTCATGCATACTACTTAAAATATATTTCTCATTTATTTTTATTATAATATTTTCTGTGTTCATTTACTTTAAAGCATCTCTGTCGTCTGCGTGTACTTTACTGTAGATTAAATTTGTGTGATACTCCCTCGGTAACTTACCAACTGGTTGTGAGTGTTTTATTAAATGCGGTTCATGTGGTATCGAAAATATATATACTATTATTTTTTTTATTTTGTAATTGTAGATCATACTTTACTTCGCTTCCATATGATCGCTCTGTCTCTCATATGTATTTTTATTTATTGTTTATAATTTAATTTCTTTCTCTATTTTTTTTTTCATCGTTTTTTATAACTTTACAGTCAGCATGTGAAAGTTGACTCGTTTAATTTGTCTTTGGTGTGTGATAGAGAGAGGCAGAGATAAAAAACAGAGAGGATTACAAGACTTTTAATTTAAATACATAATTATTATTTCATAATATCGACATGTGTTAAAAAAAATATTTTTTTCTCATAAATGTCAATGGATTGAGGCAACAAGTCGTGATTGCAATGAAAAAGAGTGGGAGGTAAAAAAGTTTTCATCATTTTTTGATTCAAAAAATATGTTATTTTTTTTTCAACTTTATGTGATTGATAAACGGATTTTGATTAGGAATATCGATAAGCTTATCTCTCACATTTCAATTTTTGTTATAATTTCTTTATGGCAAAATCACGTTTTTTAATCTCATCATTTTTTAAGCGTATTTTTGCAAAACAGGCTCATGTTTTTAAAAGTGATTAAAATAGAATTTACTTTTATCATAACTTAACGACTAGCTTTTCTATAGATTCAACTAGATATTGTAAACATGGTGGACAAAATTGTTTTTGGAAGTGATCATATTTCGGTCATCAGACAATTGAGGTTTTACTGTTTTTAAATTTATGACTGTCATATTTTTCAACTAATATTTCTGACATGACCTTAATATGCAAAAACTAGGGATGTATTCAAGGGTGAGTTTACCTTCTTCTGAATGAAAATTGTTTTCAATTCTTCATCAAAATCTATCATCGTTACAAAAAGCCTCTCCTCTCACCCTTTCAAAAATATTCCAAAATTTAGAATCTAAATACATCCCCTTAAAAATTCTTTTGTGCTGCTTGGACAAAGAATCAAACAAATTGTTCATCTCATTTAATGGATTTCAGAAAAATGTTTGGTAGAAAAATAAAGCAAAAATACGCTTTTCTCATCATTCGTTATGTTAGTTCTTTTAAAAAAATTGTTTAAAGCTCCTAAAGTAACAACCCTACTGAGTAGTTTGAAAATTTAATTTAAATAACGTTTGCATCAAGAGTTTCATCATTTTCGATGGTGGAGGATTTCAAGACATTGCATGCTTCAAGAACTAATCGATTAAACTCAGATGCATTATCACTAAATAGCTGATGCCCTGCTAGTTCAATATATTCAATATGCGTATAACTCTCTGGTCGTATTTCTTTTAAAGATGGACCAAATGAGGTATCCAGCCAAGACTCAGCACCAAATATACATGTAAGTGGAATTTTCTGACACAATTCTTGCTCCTGTAATCTATCACACATGGGAAATTTCGGATATACACCGATATCAAGCAAATCACGGAAGGCATATTCTCCAGTTATCTTTTTTGTATTGCAATGATAAACGTATTTAGCTATTGTTTTGTCATGCTTCTCAACAACATTTTCGTATTTTTCGACAATATCTGGTCGTCCTTTTCTTAAAATCACGGGACCAAACGGACCAGCAGCTCGTATCACAGCTAACGGTGAAATCTTACTTGTTAAGAACATCATTGAGCGTTGATATAATGAATACTTCTTAAAGTCTTCTGATGATTTAATACCAATAAAGCCCCACGGATCTGGAATCGTTTATTTTTAAAATGTATTATATGACATTCATTTTTCTTCGTATAAATTTAGACTTTTTAAATTATGAAACTTGATGTTCCGCAAAAAAAATCACTTTTGTGACAAGAATAGAGAAAAAATGAAATTAATTAATCTTACCTGCTAATATTAAATGTTCGATTCGTTCAGGATATTTAATTGAGTATGCAGTCGATAAATACCCGCCAAAAGAGTGACCAAGTAAAATCATTTTGTCGATTTTCATACATTCTCTCCATTTTTCAATAGAATTCACATATTGCATTTCAATTTCCTTTGCGTCCTTAGAAAATTTCGGTCGAGAGCTTTTTCCAAACCCTAACAAATCCATAGCATAGACGGGACGATTATTTGCAAATGTATCGAAATTTAATACCCAAAATCCAATTCCTTTAAAATGAAAAAAAAAAAATTAAACAAATTGTGATTTCATCATTGCGATGATTAAGCCTTTATATTATACCTGCTCCAAACCTGCAAATTCAAAGAAAAAAAAATTCAATAAGTATAAAAAAAAATCACATAAAATGTCTAAAAGCTATTACCCATGAATTAACACAATCGGAATATTTGGACTTTCTGTATTCATTGAGAGAGTCCAAATTTTATTAAGATGAGTTCCAATACATGGTCCAATATCAACATAAAACTTATTGTAGCATGTTTTAATTCCTACATGATGAAAAGTAAAATAAATTGTCGATAACGTTCTTATTTTTTGGGGGAACTAAGGCGAAAAAAAAATTGATTTTATTCACCTGACAGCATTCTTTCTTCTGCCTTGTCCAAACTTTTTGTTGAATGAAAATTCCATTTTAATATAGATGAAAGGAAATGTCTAATAATGACATAATAAATTCAGATTTAATAAAATATCAAGGTCATTCAATTCTTTTTTTTTCACACTGATTTATTTGAATAAAAATTTCATTAAAAAATTTATATTTTTTCCACGAACCTATCACGTTGATTTGTACGATAAATGTCTGAATCTGAGACCATTTTATCAAAATAAACAGCAGTAATGCTGATTTTATCTGATAATTAGTCCAATCACACCAAAAATCACACGAGAACTCTGTTCAGTATCGAAGAAAAATTTGTACTTAATGCTTTTATTCACAATTGTTGAAAAATAATTTTTTTCTTAGAAAATGTCTCTGAAAATGAAACATTTCTCGCTCTTATTCTCTTGAAACAATTGAAATTGGAACAGATTCTCAATTTTTTTACTTTCATCTACTTTGGACAATCTCTAGCGGTGCTGATAAGATGTTAAATAAAATAAAATAAAAGTTTATTGTGTCAATCAAGATTTCGTCATTTTTATCAGTATTAGTCGTTGGGAATTAATTTGTTTTTCGGCAAATCATGTTGCTTGACTAGATTAATAGTATAATAGAGACAATCCTGGAGAGTACGTTGACTCTCAAATTCCATTTTTTATTTAGAATAAATGAATAAGGTACATAATACTTATCAAATATTGATCATCACAAATAAAATTTTTATTGCTTGTTTCGTGACTCATTTCCGTGAGATTTCAGAATCTTGCATGCATTTAATACAGATCGATTAAAGTCTTCTGCGTTGTCTGCATAAACGTGATGACCAGCATTTTCAATGTGCTCAATGTGCGTGTAACTATTTGAACGCGATTCTTTAATTGACTCACCATATGTATTATTCATCCATGATATTGCACCATATAAGAATGTTACAGGTATTTCAGTCGGAAAGCTTTCCTTAAATCTATCAACCATTGGGTTTTTAGCCCAAGGACCGCCATGTAATAATCTCTTGAAAGCATGCTCGCCTGTAGGATTGTCAGTATTACATTGATGGATATATGTGGCAACAACTTTTGGGTCGTCTACAATATTTTCATACTTCCGCATTATATCACGTCTCATCTTTTCAATCAGCCACTGACCCCAAGGGCCGGCTACTCTTAATATTCCAAGCGGTGGCACCTTGCCAAAAACTTTTATCACAGATCGTTGCCAATAAGGTCGGTTACTTAAATCTGGCTTTTCCGTGAAGCCCCAAGGATCTGCGTTTTAGTATTTTAGAAAAGAAAAAGATTAATGACTTATATAAATAATCACGGCGTGACTAAAAATAATTTCTCAGACAGAGATGTAACAGACAGACAGAATGAGAGAGGAGATAAATCTCACCAGCTAATATTAGATGCTCAATATTCTCCTCATATTTCATAGCATATGATGTTGATAGAAAACCGCCAAATGAGTGTCCTAATAAAATCATTTTCTCTATTTGCATAGCTTTTCTCCACTCTTCAATCGAATTACAGAATTGCGACTCAATTTCATCGGCATCGTCTGCAAATTCAGGCCTTGAGCTTTTGCCAAAACCAAGCAAGTCGATTGCATAAACAGGATGATTTTCTGCAAGATGATCCAAGTTTTGAAGCCAAAACCCTAAAGCAGCAGCAAATCCATGGACTAAAACAATTGGAGTGTTTTTACAATCAGTATTAGCAGATAACGTCCATATTTCGTCATTATCTCCAACACATTCACCGATTTGGATGTAGAATGTATCAAAAGGCACTTTTACATCTAGAAAAGTCGAAATGATTATTTTGCATGATTCTTTATTATGAAATTTTTCTTCTTACTTGAGAGCAAAATTGTTTCAGATTGATTTAATAAATCCTTTGAATGAGAATTCCAACGAAAGTAGCTTTTGCATCTGAAATGAATATATGAATGAATGTATGAATGTTGATCATATTAAATTGAATTAAATTCCCGTCTCGAGCATTATCATAATAATTCACACTGATTGCTTTATATTCTTCTTATTATTTAAAAATCTAAAATCGCAATTCATGGTATACCTGTATGGTTGATCCACAGGAATAATTTCAGTACTATTAACCATTCTGTATTACTTGAAAAAAAAATTTACTTCTATTTGATACACTTTTTAAGAGTTTTTAAGATTTAAAGACTTGTAATGAAATTAAAATGAAATATCGATTTCTGCTCTTCACTTATTCCTACGATGTACTCAGCTGATTCATGTTTTCTGTTTCATTCCTTCATTCTCAAATAATAATAATTTAGTAAATGGAACAGGACTGAAAGGTGAACATTCTGATTTTTTGTTGTTGCGAAATCATTAAGACCCGTATAATTCTAGAGATATGTTTGACATTCAATTACTTCACATTTTGCAGATGATCAAACCTTTTAGAATCATGTTAAACTATAATGATTAAATGCTTTTATATGAAGTTGTTTGGGATATAAGGCAGCCCACATAATGTTACCAAGCTCGAGCAAGTAATGTCCATCTGCAATGCTTTTATGGATTTAATATAATTTAATGAAGAGAAAAGGACATAATCGAAATACTTCGCGTGTGGCATAATTGACTTACTGACCTAAATTAATAATTAAAGAGAAAATTAATAGTGGAACACGTGCTAGTATTTTCTGCTCTAATTTAATGCATAACGTACATTGGAAGAGACACATCTGTTAGGTAACAGAAATATTTACGCATCAACAAAATTCAATGGTTCTTTTTAATGCCAAATTAAGTTGAAGAATTTTGGATTTGAATTAATTTTTTACCACGTTATTTTTAACTTGCTTTCTTATCTGTTTGATTGTCCGCAAAATTTCAAGTCTTGCGATCGATTTTTCGACCATTTTTACTGATCTAATCGAGCTGAAATTTTGCTTGCACTTGTATATACGATGATAATACAATATTCAAGCATTTGTGGAGCTTCGAAATGCTTAATTATAGTAAAAATCATATAAATTATGAAAATAATCCAATGTAAATGATAGAAAATTTTCACTTCAATTAATAACACTTTTACGAAACTGAAAATGAATCGATGTTTTTTTTTCCTAAGATTGATTCATTTTATTGAAAAATAAAATAAAATCGATTTTTACCACGTGGACTAAAAAGTAGAAAATAACTTTTTTATTGGGTTCAAAGGTAATTGGTTTGAAAATTTGAGATTGATTTAAAAGTTTCATACTAAAGTCATGATCATCATGAATTGCAAATTTGTTCACTTCGACCATATCGAAAAGTTCTACATCTTAAAACGTGGGCGCATTCATTAATATTGTATATTTGGAAAGCTTAAATTTCAACCAGTATCCTTTAAACCCAATAAAAAAGTTATTTTCTACTTTTTAAAAAGTATTTATTATATTTTAAAATTCAATTTAAAGCATTTTTGGTTTTCGATCATAGTAGGCTATTTTCAAAAAAATATCGATTTTATATCTATATTAGCATTCTTTATCATTTATAATACCTAGATATGTTTTAAAATGATAGTTCTGGATACTTTTCCTTTCCAATGATATTCCAATAGTTTCTTGCTGACATTTTAAACAAGAAATCTCTTTTTTTCTGTTTTTTTCTGTGGAAGCATGGACATTTCTTCAACAAACGATATGATTTGTTCTTGTGCGTTACAAGCAATTTCCGAAGATAAGCCAGATAAAAACTCCTCTACCGAACTCATAATGTCAATTTTATCGTCCTCAAAAAAATATCCTGTCGCATCATGTCTAGGATTCAATAAGTATGCTAATCCCATACTAGATGTGTACAAAAAGTTGAGTCTGTTCTTTATTTTCACCTGAATATCCACATTGCCTTCAAACTTCTGGTACATATGGCTAAAGTAGTGATAAACGGATTCTAAATCAAATTCAGATTATAAATATATATTAATTAATATATGATTTGAAGCCCTGCAGGTTACTAAGCGAGGTGTACAAACTTAACCACCTAGTTGGAACTGGCATCGAAAGATCACGTAAAATATTTGCAGCCTTCCGCTTTTCATTCAACTTTGATTTTACGAGGTGATGATTTCGAAAAAATTTGATAATTTTTTCAGCATCCTTTATAACTTTAGCATTATCATTTAATATTTTGATAGTAAAAAGTGTAAATTTTGTAAAAAATAACGTACATGCACATACATGCATAAATGCATAAATGCATAAATTTGCATAAATGCAGACATATGCGCATGCATGCGCATGTATGTGCATGTGGGCGAACCCTAATAAAACATGACAAAAAATTTGTTTAACATGATTTCAAAGAAACAGTGAATTTATGATGCAACCTAGTGCAAAAGTAGCTACTATTTAACATTTTTGACTACAAATCTGCCAGAACTTTACAGAAATTGCTCAAACTGACAAAGCAATTTGTGCAAATGATCTTAAATCAATAAAACATGACAAAAAATTTGTTTAACATGATTTCAAAGAAACAGTGAATTTATGAAGCAACCTTGTACAAAAGTAGCTACTATTTTACATTTTCGACTACAAATCTGTCAGAACTTCACAAAAATTGCTCAAACTGACAAAGCAATTTGTGCAAATGATCTTAAATCAATAAAACATGACAAAAAATTTGTTTAACATGATTTCAAAGAAACAGTGAATTTATGATGCAACCTTGTGCAAAAGTAGCTACTATTTAACATTTTTGACTACAAATCTGCCAGAACTTTACAGAAATTGCTCAAACTGACAAAGCAATTTGTGCAAATGATCTTAAATCAATAAAACATGACAAAAAATTTGTTTAACATGATTTCAAAGAAACAGTCAATTTATGATGCAACCTTGTGCAAAAGTAGCTACTATTTAACATTTTTGACTACAAATCTGCCAGAACTTCACAGAAATTGCTCAAACTGACAAAGCAATTTGTGCAAATGATCTTAAATCAATAAAACATGACAAAAAATTTGTTTAACATGATTTCAAAGAAACAGTCAATTTATGATGCAACCTTGTGCAAAAGTAGCTACTATTTAACATTTTTGACTACAAATCTGCCAGAACTTCACAGAAATTGCTCAAACTGACAAAGCAATTTGTGCAAATGATCTTAAATCAATAAAACATGACAAAAAATTTGTTTAACATGATTTCAAAGAAACAGTGAATTTATGAAGCAACCTTGTACAAAAGTAGCTACTATTTTACATTTTCGACTACAAATCTGCCAGAACTTCACAGAAATTGCCCAAACTGACAAAGCAATTTGTGCAAATGATCTTAAATCAATAAAACATGACCAAAAATTTGTTTAACATGATTTCAAAGAAACAGTGAATTTATGATGCAACCTAGTGGATAAGTAGCTACTATTTAACATTTTCGACTACAAATCTGCCAGAACTTCACAGAAATTGCTCAAACTGACAAAGCAATTTGTGCGAATGCTCTTAAATCAATAAAACATGACAAAAAATTTGTTTAACATGATTTCAAAGAAACAGTCAATTTATGATGCAACCTTGTGCAAAAGTAGCTACTATTTAACATTTTCGACTACAAATCTGCCAGAACTTCACAGAAATTGCTCAAACTGACAAAGCAATTTGTGCGAATGATCTTAAATCAATAAAACATGACAAAAAATTTGTTTAACATGATTTCAAAGAAACAGTGAATTTATGATGCAACCTTGTGCAAAAGTAGCTACTATTTAACATTTTTGACTACAAATCTGCCAGAACTTCACAAAAATTGCTCAAACTGACAAAGCAATTTGTGCAAATGATCTTAAATCAATAAAACATGACAAAAAATTTGTTTAACATGATTTCAAAGAAACAGTGAATTTATGATGCAACCTAGTAGAAAAGTAGCTACTATTTAACATTTTCGACTACAAATCTGCCAGAACTTCACAAAAATTGCTCAAACTGACAAAGCAATTTGTGCAAATGATCTTAAATCAATAAAACATGACAAAAAATTTGATTAACATGATTTCAAAGAAACAGTGAATTTATGATGCAACCTTGTGCAAAAGTAGCTACTATTTAACATTTTTGACTACAAATCTGCCAGAACTTTACAGAAATTGCTCAAACTGACAAAGCAATTTGTGCAAATGATCTTAAATCAATAAAACATGACAAAAAATTTGTTTAACATGATTTCAAAGAAACAGTGAATTTATGATGCAACCTTGTGCAAAAGTAGCTACTATTTAACATTTTTGACTACAAATCTGCCAGAACTTTACAGAAATTGCTCAAACTGACAAAGCAATTTGTGCAAATGATCTTAAATCAATAAAACATGACAAAAAATTTGATTAACATGATTTCAAAGAAACAGTGAATTTATGATGCAACCTTGTGCAAAAGTAGCTACTATTTAACATTTTCGACTACAAATCTGCCAGAACTTCACAGAAATTGCTCAAACTGACAAAGCAATTTGTGCGAATGCTCTCAAATCAATAAAACATGACAAAATATTTGTTTAACATGATTTCAAAAAAACAGTCAATTTATGATGCAACCTTGTGCAAAAGTAGCTACTATTTAACATTTTTGACTACAAATCTGCCAGAACTTCACAGAAATTGCTCAAACTGACAAAGCAATTTGTGCAAATGCTCTCAAATCAATAAAACATGACAAAAAAGTTTTTTAACATGATTTCAAAGAAACAGTGAATTTATGAAGCAACCTTGTGCAAAAGTAGCTACTATTTAACATTTTCGACTACAAATCTGCCAGAACTTCACAGAAATTGCTCAAACTGACAAAGCAATTTGTGACAATGCTCTTAAATCAATAAAACATGACAAAAAATTTTATTAACATGATTTCAAAGAAACAGTGAATTTATGATGCAACCTTGTGCAAAAGTAGCTACTATTTAACATTTTCGACTACAAATCTGCCAGAACTTCACAAAAATTGCTCCAATTGGCAAAGCAATTTGTGCAAATGTTCTTAAATCAATAAAAAATGACAAAAAATTTTATTAACATGATTTCAAAGAAACAGTGAATTTATGATGCAACCTTGTGCAAAAGTAGCTACTATTTAACATTTTCGACTACAAATCTGC